ATTGAAGACACGAGTTCACCTGAAGATGTTTTCCGTGCACTAGTAGAAAACTCATTTAGATTATGGGGTGGAGAAAGTGTTCACGAAGGACTCGTGGATGAGCTATGCAGCGATGAGAATCTTGCCAACGTACGTATGCTTTCTTCTAATCTAAATATGGTGAATTTAAAATGACGTGCATCTATATTTGGTCTTACCACTATTTCTAATAGTGACCGTGGAGCGCTTCTCATTTGTTCACTGTGTTATAATTTATCTTCTGCAGGAATACCTTGAATTATTACAAAATGAATTACGTCGACGAGGTCAGGGTGGTTCTGAGTAGAAGTGCTTGCTTCTCTCTTGTGGTTGTCTGATCATGGTAGGTCCGGTGATTAGGTTTTGCCCTGGCTGGGGGGGTCTCAAAATCTATTTACCAGTTGATACTCTTGGTTCCAGCCAAAAAACTATAAATTAAAAAAAAAAAGAAAAAAAAAGGGTTGATGCTTTGGATCTTTGTACAAAATAGGATTAGGGTTTGATGGGTTCCATTGTTAAGCAAAAGCATCCATGTTTTGGATGTACATTTTTCTGGTTCATTGTGTGTTTGAACTAGTAGATTAAGTTCTGGCTTCTCAATAGAGCCATTTCCTCTTTTCGGAGCTTTTAATATCACGCCCCCAAAAAAAAAAACAGTTTTCCCCGATGTAGTAAAGCATTATCTTTGACGTAATTTGGGTTAACGAATTGCAGGAATTATCAAAATTGACATGACTAGTCATATTCGTCCTACAAAATAGAGCCTGCCTTCAGAAGCCAAAAGATTCTTGGGCCATTTTTCTCCTGTATGCTAAAAGATTTTAGGGGAACTTGTACTTAATTCCTTCGTTTATACTCGCCTACCTATCCATCTCTATGCTCTTCCAGGTCTTCTACTCTTCCGAGCATCTACCTCTGTTTATTTTACTAGTTTAGTTCAGTTTAACTTAATTTGAACAGTAAGCACAGTTTGAATTGGTGTTAGTAAACATGTAGTTCGAATTGGTGTTTAGTAAAGATGCAGTTTGAATTATATTCTCAGTTTGAACTGAGTTAAACGGCTCATCTTAGAGTTTAACTTTCCCTTTAAGTTTAACCGTTCAAACTATATTTAAATCTTCTTTATACTTACTAAACACAAATTTAAATTTTATTCTCTGGTTAAATTAAAACTTTAACAACACATTTAAATGTTAATTCAACTTACCATTTAAAATATAGTTTGAATTTTTCTGTTTAAATCAAAAAATTCAAACAAATAAAATTTAAACTAGTGAATCAACCGAGGAAGAGTCTGACGACTTTGCTCTCATGTTTTGTACATTGAGGAGGCTATCTCCAGTTTCTTCAGTCTTCATTTGAACAGATTTTTATCTTGATCTTTGCACAATTTGAATCCAACTTAAATTTTTTGCTAGTGTTTTTTTATAAAAATTTAAATTTAATTTTTTGTTAGAATATTGGCTTAGTTTGGTATTGCTGTAGATTTTAGAAAAATTGCTTTTATCTGTGTTGAAAGAAAAAACAGTTACAAAAAATAGCTGAGTGTTTGGAAAACTATAATTATAATAGTTGTGTTGGTTTTAAAATAAGTGTAATAGTGTTTGGTAAATTATGAGATTAAATTGCTTAAAAATTACAACTATATTATATTATACTATAATATAATATATATAATTACAATATAATGTATATTTATTATTATATCTAATAATACAATAAAATTATTACTAAATAATATATTATATAATTATGATATAGAATATAACAACATTATTAACATGGTTAATATAATTACAATATCATAAAATATATTATAATATTACATAATTAAAAATTACAACTATATTATAATATAATATATTATATTATATTATATAATCATTGTTATATTATATTAAATTAATATATTATAATTAATATATTATATAACGTGTAATACACTATAATATATAATAATATTAGAATTATAAGATTATATTAATATTAATTATATTAATTATTATATTATTATTAATATATTAAATATAATTAGATCAATATAATATAATGTAATAATATTATTGTAATATTATTATTACAATATTACTATTATATTATATTATATTATTGTATTATTATATTATATTATATTATATTACGAGTCTGAATTTTAGATTGTGAAAATTGTAAATTTTAAATTTTATTAGGAATATTATGAGTATTATGAAAATTTCATTAATTGTACTATGTTGATACACACACAATTTAAAAGTTAAAGTTGTCTTTAAGCTGCTTCTGATTTTAGCTGTAAATTTTTCAAAAAAAAAAAACTTTTGAGGAAATTTACTAAATACTAAAATCAGTTTTTGCTATAAACAGAAGCTGATTTTGGGAATGAAAAGCAATACCAAACGCATCCATTATCTCTTATATAAGATTATTTTTTAACTTAAACTATCAACTCGAACCCAAAAAAGAAAGAGTCCTTGAACATGGCAACATGTTATTGCACTAGTGGAATTGCTCGTCATGCTACCAAAATGTTGACCTTAGCGTTGTTTTTGATCAATGTTGTTTGGCCCTGCGTTGGAAGCATGACAATGTCACTGACAAATAGTTATTCACTTAAAAGAGAATTTTTAAATGCATGGATTTTAATTTTAATTTATATAATTATTTAATTAAAATTATATTAATTAAGAGTTAATGGTCGAAATTTAGATCCATGCACTTAAAGGAGTATTTGTATCCTTTTTCCTTATTAAAACGTTACTATTAGTATTGTTGTTCAAAAACTCAGTTTTGGCCCGTCCGAATAAATTTATCACCAACAGTCGGACCTAAAAACTGATATCGAAGGAAAAAAAATCCAAAATCTGTTCGGAAAAAAAAACTAATATAAAAAAATTGTTATACAAAACATCAAATCAGGGGCGTGTGGCCATTTTTGTGTGGTCTAATTCAATTGTCAAATTGAGCGTTACGAAAAGAAGTTGTTATAGAAAACATCAAATCAGGGGCATGTGGCCTTTTTTTTTTTTTTTTGTCTAATTCAATTGTCAAATTGAGCGATAATTTGTTCATGGCAAGAAGTTGTTACACACTTTAAATATCATGGTATACATAATTTTTCATTTTTGGATATATTGTCGCCCTTTTTGTCGTTTTCTCTCTCTATTGTGGATCAGCGTTTTCTTAAGTTAGCAATTCATTTAATTCGCCAATTCGAGTTTTTAATTTGAACTCATATGTGACTTTATATAATAAATTTTTATGATAACAGAAAAAAGTTTAATGTGACTTTTTGTAAAAACTTTTAACTGTAGGTTTTTTCTTAACCTTGTCGTCCTTTTGTCTGTTGTTTGCACTTTGATGTTCTTTTTTTCCCTCTTCGTCATCGTTTTGTAGATCAGTTGTCATCTGACTTTTCTGTTGTCATTTGTATTTTCTTTTCATAATCGTTTACTTTTTGTGGCTGTTTGTGTTTACAGTCATCTTCCTCTTCTTTTTTTTTTTGTAGGGGTTTCAATTTTGCAAGCTACCATGTCGTGCATGTTTCCCCTTTTTCGCTGCCACCAACAACCCTTTTGTTGTTTTAAATTCCGTTGTCGTTTATATTTTATTGTCGTTTGTATATTATTAGTTTGCCTTGCAATTTCATAGTCTGATGTTTGCCATTTTAGTGTATGCCGTTAACGTTTATCTTTGCAATTATATTTGTCGTTCGCGATGACCAAAAGAAGACGACAATGGCGTCCACTTGAGATTTTTTTTTCTTTAAAAGGAAATTGATTCCAAATCAGAAAAATACAATCACTAATTCATACGTAAAAGACTCGAGTGCAAATTAGAGGTGTCAATTGGACTGGGTCGTCCATGGACGGGCCGATCCAGCCGCTACAGTGGTCAATTCGGCCTGTACTGTTATGGCCAGGGCCGGGCCGACACGCCAGAAACGATGTGCTGTGAATCATGTTTGAGGCCCGTAGCCTAGGCACGACACAGGCCCGTAGCCTAGGCACAGCGCCAGAAACGATGTGCTGTGAATCATGTTTGAGGCCCGTAGCCTAGGCACAGTACAGGCTCGTAGCCTAGGCATGGCACAGGCCCGCCAAGGCCTAGGCACGACCCATGGATGCAAAGGGCCAGGCACGGCCTGCAAAGGCCCATGCCTGCGACATGAAATTTTAATGAGGTTTGAGGCATTTTAGTACCAACTGGTCGACTTATGTTGTCCAATCAACCAGTTATTTTCTTGTAATTATTCATATTATTTTAATACAATCACATTTTTTGGGGCATATGATATATTACTTTTTTTTCTCATCAAATGTGAAATTATTAAAAAAATCCTAAAAAAATTGTTAATCACAAGTGAAACTCAAGTGCATTAAGAAAATTATGTTAAAATTAAGTTTTTAGGGGAATTCAGTGTAATCCGGTGTACGGTAGCAGAGAAGTTGTAAGCCACCAGTCGACCGGTGCCTGCTCAACGACCATAAATTGGACCGTTGAATAAGGCCTTTAGTAGGGGCCGGCCTAATAAAATCTTAAAGGGCATGCCCTATGAAGGTCCTACAGGACCATTAGTAGGGTCAGCCCAATAAAGTCTTAAAAGACCGGCCCTATGAAGGTCCTACAAGGCCATTAGTAGGACCGACCCATAAGGGCCTGGGCCCTGGCTCGGTCCTAGCGCTTAAGGGCTGGACATGAGGGTTTCCTAGCCCAAGCCCGGCCTTCTACTGTAGAGGGTCGTGCCTGGGCCGGCCCAAACCCGTGACGAGCTTAGGGTCAGAAGGCCAACATGACCCTTTTGAGACCTCTAGTGTAAATAGATTCAACCCCAACCATAAAGATTCTATTAAAACGATTAAAGAGGTAATATGTGTACCGAGTTTTAATAAAAAGAAACCACGTAGACACAAACCTAATCGAGCACAACATTGACTCTTTTAAGTACACTACTAACGCCGCAATAGTCGACGGATTACTCCAATCTATCAAGATTGAAAGATAAAAAACTAAAACCTACCACAACACCACATAACAAGATGACAAGTGGCGTCCACTTGAGATTTGAGAAGTAAACTAAAATGTGTCATTGTTTCAGGGTTTAGAGAATTTGATTTCCTGAAGAAATCTGCTGCACTTTGGATTTGGACAAACTTTTCAGTAACGGCAATGGCGTTCTCCTCCTCCTCAGCACCGCCCGGCCGAAACCCTAAAAAACCATTGGCGTTTAGCGCCAACGCAATGAAGCGCAAAGACAGTTTCATTCAGTTCTTCGCCATGACCGGAATTCTGCTGATGAGCGTCAGATCTCTGGGCCAAAAGTATCGCATCCATGACCTTCTAGAGGACACTTCGGATCTCAAGGAAGAGCAAGAGAAGCTCACCGAAAGGATGAAGAACATTAAGCGCGCTCTCCTCCACGAGGCCTCGCTCGAGCCCACTGGCGCTTTCGCTTCCAGGCTTCGTCTTCTCTTCGGCGATGAAAATTGATTCTTGGACTCGCTCTTGTGAGTTTTTCGTTTTTTTTTTTTTTTTTTTTTTCGAGAATGTTCTTCACTAGCTAGATTCTGCTATTCGAATAATAATAATTTGAAAGGAGCTTCAAAGTGAATTGATTTAGTGCTTGATTTTCTGTGGTAACTTCTCAAGGGATTTAGAGGTTTATGTATAGGGCCTTTCTTCTTCATTGTATGCTTGTTCTTCCGTGAGTTGGATTTTGGTTTGCCTTAATTCAAGAAATGTATATGATAATTAATGGAGTTTTAGGAGAATTTAGGAACTGATATTTAGGGCTTTTTTCAACACAGTACAGAGAGTTCAGTTTGAATTGGATTAAACAGTGTAGGTTCCGGGAATAGAAAGTATCCTCTACTGAGATTAAAAATTTTGGTGATTTAACATAAAAATTCATGGTGTTGTTGGTGCCGTGTTGATTAAATTTCCTGGGTAAAACTAAACGATGTTCCTCTACTTAAGTTTTTTATGTTTTGTTAAGCTTCGTGTAAGTGTTGGTTGCGTTGGACAATTAATTAATTACCAAATTGGGTAAGTTCACTTGTTTTTCTTCCTCTGGGTTAGTGTAATGTAGAGTAGAGTTTGTTACTTGTAATTAAGCTTTTATATCCTTATTTGCACGTTGGTAAAAAAAGTCTTTTTCTGATCACGTGGTACACTAGCATCAAAGCAAGATGTTGATAACTTGGGGACATTTGGAATTAAAGAAATATGTACGTATTTGATGGTTTGGTGGCCCTTCTGCTTCTGAAAACCTCGGATGGCCCTTGAAACTTCAGAAATGTTGTAAGATATTGGTGGTACATAAACTGTCGTTTTTTATGCGCACTTGAGCAATACTTTTGAGTAGCCAGAATTCATAGAATTGGATTTTGATTTTGCATGAAACCGATTTTATTTTTTTTATTTTTTTATTTTTTATTTTTTAAAGATGTCTTTGGAGAAGGACCCTGCTGGGATTTTATAGGATTTTCTTTCAATCAGCAGTATTGTGCTGTTGAAGGTTTGCAGAATCGATTTCCTTTTCACAAATTTGTTTGGTTTCCTTATTCGTCTACGCAAAAAAGGTACTCAATTCCTAGTCTCCTTCGGCTTGTCCTCCAAGCAATAACTAGACCTAAGTCCTGTTTGCGGGCTTTGTGCTTGAATGCCAATGCCTTGTGTTTGAATTCAAGGTTTTGTATCATGGGTTGTGTTTGAAATGTAATCTTTAAAAGTTAATTATGACCCGTTTAGTTTGCTGATTTAAGTTTTTAATTTGAATTTAAATGTGACTTTATATTAGAGTTTTTTACTGTAGTAAAAAAATTAAATGTGGCTGTTTCTGAGAACTTTTTATTATAACAAAACGTGAATTTTAAACTTAAATTGATAAAATAAACGGACCTTAACCTTCACTTTATATCAGTGTTTTTGCTGCTTGTATGGTTTGGTTTGGTTTGAAAGTGACAAGCTCACAAGTTGTGTTGGTTTGGTTGCACAAGTTCATTAGGAAACCGCGTAAACTGTTTGTTTTTTGTTCTTTGTGGGCAGTATGCCAGTTGCCGCGTCATAACATCAGCATGTGCTTCCTTGTGGCGTTGATGATTAATCATATAATTAGGTTTTCAAAGATGGCACATGCAATAAACGTGTCGTATTCCTCTAATCTCTGGAAGAGCAAAGTGATTGTCAAACAAATGGCCTCTTCTTTATTATGTTGCAAAACTACTGATAAGACGACAACTTTTTAACTGGAGATAGAGATTGTTTGTCGGATTGTGCACTTATCTTAATCTCTTATTTTTAAGAGATTTTATCCGATATATGGATACGATAGGTTAAATTTTTTATCCGTTAAATTTATATAAAATTATATAAAAATTAAAAAATATGTATCTAACAGTTTAAAAAATTTAATTTATTAATACGTCAAACGTATTAGAAAATTTTTTTATTTTTAATTATAAATTAAATAATCTTGTTTAAAAATAAAAAGTAAAAGTTTAGATTCTTTACGCTCTTAAAATAGATTGTTCATTTTTTTCATCTTCTGTGTTTTTGCCGTGTGTGCAAGTGTTTGTTATTGGTGGGCCTCTTTAGAAGCATAACACAAAAGGGCAGGTGCAAATGAGTCAAAATGTGAAAACTACCTCTACTTTGGACTGGCAAAAAAAAAGTAGATGTTTAACTCCATAGCCCAAAAAAAAAAAAAAAAAAAAAAAAAAAAAAAAGCAAGCTTAACTCAGGATAAATTAATCCTGTTTTTTTTTTTTTTTTTTTTACTTTGAAAAAAAAGGCTTTTCTTTCTATAAGGGCCATTGCGTACTAATGGGAACTATTACGCTTTTAATTGTGGTAATCCCTTCCTGCCTACTCAACCTTACTCTCGATTCGATTTACGTGCTGAGCTATTATTGATATGAACAAAAAAGAAAAACAGATGTCAAACCCCACACGAAGTGGGGTCCAGCAACATCATTCTCTCCCCCGGGTAAGTGGTAAGTAACATGGAAACAGGGACAACTCCAAATCTATGGCTGCTGAGTGATTGTCATGTGTCTAGTTTAGATCATGTCCGGCTAGACAAATTTTGACATTGATTATAATTTCGTGAGGTTAAAGTATAGTGGACGTTTGGTTCGTGTATTTAGAATCATGATTTAAAATTATTTTTATTTTACGTGTATTTTTTATTAGAGAAAAATACTGTAAAAAATTATGAATCATGATTCAGAATCAGAGATTAATACAATAAACAAACATCCTCATAATTATCCTTTTGACGGGTTCACGTTCCCGTACTTTTGGATTCTAATATATATTTTTTCTTATTATTATTTTGGTCATTTCCTTTCTTTTCATTTTTGAAGTTCTATGAAAACAATTAAATTCTAGAGAATAAAAAGATTAAAAAAAAACAAAGCAAATATTTATTTTTTTTAAATGATGGTGGTGGTAACAATCACAGCCATTAACAGTGAGAGATTCATACATAATCTTTTAGACATAATGAGAAAGCTTGAGTTCCCACTGTATTGATTATCTGAGAGAGAAACTTTTTATAATTCTTGTCTTCGCTTATTATTCAAACTTTTAGACGCTCATCTCCTTTCAAATTTTCAAAAGCCATAACTTATACAAATATGTTAAACAAATGTTGACCAAATTTCCCTCTCTTTCTAAAACAAACTAATTGGTGTGAACCTGCAGGTTGTAGTTAGATAGACAACATTTAAGGTCATTTTTTGGTAAACAATATTTGAGATCATTAGGAAGTGGTTGCCATGCATGTGTTCTTAAAGCAAGTTGTTCTAACTATATCTATTAGAAAAGATAAAAATAAAAGTGAGAGGCTTATTAGACGGGTGTACTAAATGATACAATCTCATTGATCGGGTGTACCACATAAGCAATACGACATGGTACACCCAGGATTGTGCACTTATCTTAATCTCTTATTTTTAAGAGATTTTATCCGATGTATCAACATATCGATAGGTTAAATTTTTTATCCGTTAAATTTATATAAAATTATATAAAAATTAAAAAATATGTATATTTAACCGTTTAAAAAATTTAACTTATTAATACGTCAAACGTATTAGAAAATTTTTTTATTTTTAATTATAAATTAAATAATCTTGTTTAAAAATAAAAAGTAAAAGTTTAGATTCTTTACGCTCTTAAAATAGATTGTTCATTTTTTTCATCTTCTGTGTTTTTGCCGTGTGTGCAAGTGTTTGTTATTGGTGGGCCTCTTTAGAAGCATAACACAAAAGGGCAGGTGCAAATGAGTCAAAATGTGAAAACTACCTCTACTTTGGACTGGCAAAAAAAAAGTAGATGTTTAACTCCATAGCCCAAAAAAAAAAAAAAAAAAAAAAAAAAAACAAAATTAATCCTGTTTTTTTTTTTTTTTTTTTTTACTTTGAAAAAAAAGGCTTTTCTTTCTATAAGGGCCATTGCGTACTAATGGGAACTATTACGCTTTTAATTGTGGTAATCCCTTCCTGCCTACTCAACCTTACTCTCGATTCGATTTACGTGCTGAGCTATTATTGATATGAACAAAAAAGAAAAACAGATGTCAAACCCCACACGAAGTGGGGTCCAGCAACATCATTCTCTCCCCCGGGTAAGTGGTAAGTAACATGGAAACAGGGACAACTCCAAATCTATGGCTGCTGAGTGATTGTCATGTGTCTAGTTTAGATCATGTCCGGCTAGACAAATTTTGACATTGATTATAATTTCGTGAGGTTAAAGTATGGTGGACGTTTGGTTCGTGTATTTAGAATCATGATTTAAAATTATTTTTATTTTACGTGTATTTTTTATTAGAGAAAAACACTGTAAAAAATTATGAATCATGACTCAGAATCAGAGATTAATACAATAAACAAACATTCTCATAATTATCCTTTTGACGGGTTCACGTTCCCGTACTTTTGGATTCTAATATATATTTTTTCTTATTATTATTTTGGTCATTTCCTTTCTTTTCATTTTTGAAGTTCTATGAAAACAATTAAATTCTAGAGAATAAAAAGATTAAAAAAAAACAAAGCAATTTTTTTTTTTTTTAAATGATGGTGGTGGTAACAATCACAGCCATTAACAGTGAGAGATTCATACATAATCTTTTAGACATAATGAGAAAGCTTGAGTTCCCACTGTATTGATTATCTGAGAGAGAAACTTTTTATAATTCTTGTCTTCGCTTATTATTCAAACTTTTAGACGCTCATCTCCTTTCAAATTTTCAAAAGCCATAACTTATACAAATATGTTAAACAAATGTTGACCAAATTTCCCTCTCTTTCTAAAACAAACTAATTGGTGTGAACCTGCAGGTTGTAGTTAGATAGACAACATTTAAGGTCGTTTTTTGGTAAACAATATTTGAGATCATTAGGAAGTGGTTGCCATGCATGTGTTCTTAAAACAAGTTGTTCTAACTATATCTATTAGAAAAGAGAAAAATAAAAGTGAGAGGCTTATTAGACGGGTGTACTAAATGATACAATCTCATTGACCGGGTGTACCACATAAGCAATACGACATGATACACCCAGTGTACTGGATAATTCCTCCTTTATCCAGAGACGTCTACAAACTGTCGCGAGATTTATTCAGAAAAAAAAGGGTTAAGGCGGAATATCAAGTCAAAAGAGTGTATATATTAGAAAATAGCTTGTTGCACTTCATTTGTGAACAACTGTCAGTTGAAGTTGGCCATTTTGGTTAACATATATAAAGGCCAATAGATAGCGTCATTAACTATAGTTGTACTCACTTCCATGTGAACATTTACTGCGTTTTATATACGTAAAAAAAATACATATATTTATATAATATAAGAGCTAGAGAACAACCGAGTCCCAATACATTAAACATGAGTGTGTGTGTGTAATATATATATATATATATGTCTTTTATATTCGTTTATCTCAATATAAGAACCATTCATGTGCATTTCCAAGTATCATATATCAGAATGTTGAGGGAAAAAGAGTATATAATGCGATTCATGTATTCAATGAGTTTAATCAAAACGTCGGTCCATTCACCTAATTTGGAACCAATCATGGCACTTTTTTTTTTTTTTTTGACTGAAGAACCAATCAGACCACGTACTCTATAAATTATATCCATGTTTACATAGAAGAAAACATACATATTCTGCAACATGCATGTACTAGGGAACAAAGACTTCTTTACGACAAAACACCTTTCTACTAATAATTGTACAAATCTACACAAGTAGATTCTCATCTTAACAACTATAGATTTGCTTAATTAATCCAGAAAAATCACTTTACAGACCTTTCAATCCTCTATATATGTCTGTCGGTGAAACTAAAGTTCTCTTTGAACTAAAAGCATTTTCAAGTGATGCCACATTATGATTATTCTTAGGATTTTTGGTTTCGAATATTGACAACAATTTCCACGTTCTTCATTGCTATTCACCCACGAATGAGGATGGACTGCCACTCCAACTGTTTTTTTTTTTTTTTTTTCTATTTTATATTTTACCCCTAAAAATTTTAATTTCTTCATTTGCACCATCTCATCAGTTCAGTGAGTCATCCCCGCTTTATTGATTTTATTTTATTTTATTTTTGGCTCCGCCCCTAACTCCAATTACATATATATAATAAGCAAGGTATATGATTATTTTTTTCTTTCTCAACTGATATAATGACAGAAAGAAGTTTGACTAGTGTGCCATAGCAATAATTGAATAATATAACTTTAATCATAAATCGGTATACGATCTTATAAATTTGCAAATTTTTTTCCCCCAAATTCCAATCATATGGTCCCCATTTAAGAATGCACATACTCCATTCCAATGGAGGCCCTAGGAGACCCATACCATCCCTTTAGAGTACTGGTGAAGAATTTATATCTTGAGTGGTTGCGTTTTACACCCACAATTCATTGGTCAATGTGCTATGCAACTCTAGCTAAGACTAGGATGCTAAAATAATAGAATAGTTTATAAAAGTTGACTACAATATGACTAAATTACACTTTAGTATTTTACCATCCAATGGGAGATTTATATGACCATATATAGTTTGTGATAAATATATATATATATATATACATAATCTGATTAATCAGCTATTAATAGTCAACTCAGATCATGATTTATGCATGCTAAATAGCAATTACCATATGGCAGCGAGCATAGAGCGTATGTCTCGTTTATTTTGTAGATTTGAGTTTTTAATTTGAGCTGAGATAGTGATATTTTTTAGAGTTTTTTACTGTAATAAAAAAAGTTAAATGTGATACTTTTTAAAATTTTTTTATTATAAAAATTTAAAACTGAAAACTTAAATCGGTGAAATAAAGACTAATCCGTCTGTGTGCAAAGAAAAACAGTCACATTTCACATGCAATCGTACATGGTGATATGGATCGCGCCAAATGCCAGACCCATGTGGGAGACACAAAAACGCACACTTCAAACTTGTAACAAATACAAATGCTGATTAGCAGCGGACCCCACCGCCGACACCGCAAAGTTTCCAATTTTTTTTTTTTTTTTTTTTCAAATTTTCATTCCCAATTTATTCATTTATTTATTTTTTATTCTTTCTTATTTTCCCTCTCTTTTCTTTACGGCTACACATCACCCACCTCCTCTCTGTACCGCACTTAAATACGTGCTTTTCCTTTCCACCATAAATCACCACCATTTTTCTTCACTCCTTCTCATCTGATCTCCAACCTGAGAAACGAACGAAAGAAAGAAAGAAAGAAAGAAAGAAAAGTTACATTTTTGTTTGTTCAGTCGGTTAGTCAGCCAAACATGGCGCTAACCTTAGCGGTGTTGCTATGTGTCTCGGCTTCTCTGTTCGCCATTGTTAGGGCGGAAGATCCGTACAGGTTCTTCGACTGGAATGTCACTTATGGCTTCATTTACCCCCTCGGTGTTCGCCAACAGGTTTGTCTGAAACTAAAAAGAAGTTGGATTTTCTTTTCGTTTCTTTTCTTTTTTAAATATTTATTTTCTTGAATTAAGGATGAAGAAAATTCGTCTGATCTGGTTGAAATGGAACCGATCTGTTTGTTTCTAGGGAATCCTTATCAATGGACAATTCCCAGGCCCGGACATTCACTCCGTTACTAATGACAATCTCATTATCAATGTCTATAACAGTTTGGACGAGCCTTTTCTCCTCTCCTGGTACTCTCTCTCTCTCTCTCTTTCTACTATAACCAACTCTCTCTCTCTCTAGTTTTTTTTTCTTTTTCTTTTTCTTTTTTTCTTTCAAAGTAAATCCTTGCCTTTTTCGAGAATAAAGTAAATCCCTCTTTAAACAAAGATAATTATGTCGTTAACATTGCTTTCTCTGTTGAAAAGACGATAATTTCCTTCTTAATCTTGGTTTTGAAGCCTATGATGCAATGTTGCTTGAGGGCTTTTTTGTATTTTAATGGCTTGTACGTGATTCATATTGCAAATGTGAGCCTAATAATCTACAATTTTTTTTTTTTTTTTTTAGATTGAGAATATGAGAATGTTTGATGCCTTTGTTCCCTTTTATTTGTTTGGTTTTGTTATTTTTTCATTCTCTTGATTCTCGTATGTGAATATGAATCATGTGAATGCTTTATGAAGAGTTCCTAAGATCATGTGCTGGATGATTCGCTGATTTTTTAGATCTGGTTAATAAGGCACGATTCAGAATTTAGAAAAATAAATAAATAAATAAATTGGGTGTTCTACCATAAATAAATAAATTGGGTAATAAATTCCCATAATCACGGGAAAAGAATACCCGTGACTATAAGCTTTGTTATCGAGAAAAAATTCATGGGTCGCTTTTACTGTCATTTTTGGGTATTTTGCTTTGACGACCACGGAAATCTCCCATCTTAGTGTCATTACAAAACATTAGTTATGCAGCTAGTTTTCAATTAGTAGAAAGGGTCCCACAAAGGATACGGAAATAAAAAAGTGATAATGACTCTTTAGAAAATTTAAAATCTGTTAGTTTCTTGGTTTAAATTTTTAATTTAAATTGAGATATAATTTGATGTGAAAATTTTTTATAATAAAATTAAATATAATTATTTGTAAAATTTTTTTATTATAATAATTAAATTTAAATCGATAAAATGAACGAAACTTAAACAATAATAAATAAAGAGAATGTTAATGAGCGGATTAATAATAGAAAATATTAGTTAATTGATTTACTTTATTTAGAAAGTATATAAATGGAAAGAAAAAGAGTCCAGTAGTGACACGTTGCTTTCTATTCTCCGTATAGCTGTCATAAGCTGTAAAATGGTATTTTGGGATAGAGAAATCAGCAGCTTGGCCAAGGCTGATAGTGACTTTTTCCTGTGAATTAGGCCTAAGAGACATATGTTGTGTATAGATTCATAGAACACTGTAAAAAGAAAGAAAAACGTTTAATTTGTTAATTTAATTTGAGTTACATTAATTAAATATAAGAATTTTTTATTATAATAAATATGCATAACAACTTTCTCGGCCACCGACGGAACCAAAAAGAAGAAAAGGCAGTATATTTCTTTCTTTCTTTTTTGTTTCTCTTTAATTGAATATGAATTGGTTAATTAATATTTTTGGATACCGATTTCCAAGTCGTTATAAATATGCAGAACAACTTGTCTACTACGTCTTGCACCTTCCAAGATGACGCTGAGTCACACGGTGGGGCTTACTTGGCAGTCTGCACATGCAAATTTGTTGTAGTCAATTATGTCAATATGCCCATTATTTCGGCTATTTAATATCTCGTTATGCTACCAAAAATGTGTGCGTCTTCTAGTGTGGAAATAACCTTTAACTTTTACACACAAAAAAGGGTTCCAATTCGAAATGCCGAAATTCTGGACTTATTTGACATTAAGTCAACGTGGACCTGTTTAGTTTATTAATTTAAGTTTTAATTTTAGTTAAAATGTAATTTTATGTGAGAATTTTTTCGTATAGTAAAAAAATTAAATGTAATTATTTTTTAAAATTATTCTAATAAAATTTAAATTAATAAAATAAACGAGACGTAATGTATTTACACTTTTTTTTTTTATGATGATAGGAATGGGATTCAAAATAGGAGGAATTCTTTTGAAGATGGTGTGTATGGAACAACATGCCCAATACCACCAGGGAAAAACTTCACATACATTCTGCAAGTGAAGGATCAGATTGGGAGCTTCTATTACTTCCCATCTCTCGCATTCCACAAAGCCGCCGGTGGGTTTGGAGGGATCAGAATCCTTAGCAGGCCCAGAATTCCTGTCCCTTTCCCTGACCCATCTGGTGATTACACCATTCTTATTGGGGATTGGTACAAGACCAATCACACGGTAAACACCATTCCATTTCCACATATTTAATTTTCGAGAGTTTCTCGATAAGTCAATTCTATCCATAGTGTTAATTTTTAACTGTTAAATTAAATTAAAATTACATTAAATTAAAAAAATACATAATTATATATCAAATAATTTTTAATACAAATCTTACGATCGAAAATAAAATACTATTAATAATTTATTTTTTAAGGTCTTACAAACTCTCTTAGAGGATGTTTGGTAGAGTGATTCGTTCTCTGATTCGAATCATGATTCATGATTCACTACAGTATTTTCTCTCATAAAAAATTCACGTAAAACAAAAATAGTTCGAATAACATAATTTAAATCCTCCAACTAAACGTCCTCTTAATTTCCTTTTGTTTCCTTTTTTTTCTTTTTTAATCGCATTACTTTTTTTTTTCCCTCGAATATGTATTGACTGAGAAAAGTAGCCGTCTGTATTTTCGTGGTCAAGCACAAATGGAGGGAAATTTGACGTTTGTCGTTTTGTTATCTTTTTCTGCTGGGAGTCCTTGACAGCTGGGTTACTGAGCAGCTGGATTGTCGGTTAAGCTTTTTTTTTTTTTTTTTGTGTTGAAAGACCCTCGTCATTTGTCAAATATGTGTTGCGTGAAATTTTTCTTTTTTTTCCTGTGTCGAGTCAAGAAGCCTCTCCATGGTTCTGAAATATAATTTCGGCCAGTTTTTTTAATAAATAATTTTTATATTGTTTTACATGATTTAATTTAAATTAGCGGGTATTAATGCTGTTATGTCCGAGTTATATTACAAAAAAGAAAAAAAAATGTATTTTACGTCCGAGAACAAGAATTTTATGGAATTTATATCTTAATAAGTAAATTTGAGCTGTGCTTAGAGTAATTAATATTCAGCTATCTATTTCTTCTTCGAAGCCAAAAAAAAAAAAATGTAGAGCCAGAGTCAATAATATCGTCATTGATATTGCCATTGCTTTGGGATGGGGCCAACTATTTAACCATATTATAATTACAAGGGTCACGCAAATTTTAATTCATTTATTGTAAACTTCATAAATTGCTCATGGTGGGTGGCATGCTTGTCATTTTTCATACAATGGTCGGGGATGCTCCATTCAATTCGTTGATTTGACTTTTTAATTTGAGTTTAGATGTGACTGATTCTGAGAGCTTTTTACTGTAACAAAACTCGAATTCTAAACTTGAATCGGTAAAATGAACGGGGCCTTATTCTCTTCGTATTTTGCAAGGTAATAAATTCAGCAACAACTGAACGTTGAGGGAAAACAAATAGAAAAATGAAATTGAGAAGGAAGAAAACATTAGTGGCACTTTTAGGACTTAATGCATAAAAATAATGTCGTTCCAAGCGTGTTATTGTCGTTGTAAGCATGTCTCTTCTATATGTCACCTATGTTCAATTACTTTCATTGCTTTGTTATAACTAGTTATCTTGTTAAAACTCAAAATGAGTATATAATCGTTGCGTTATATATATATATATATAGGACTTGAAAGATCATCTAGATGGTGGTAAGAAGCTACCTTTTCCTGATGGAATTCTCGTCAATGGTCGTGGGCCCAATGGTTACTCTTTGACTGTTGAACAAGGTATACTATCACTCAAATATCTTTTTGCTAAAAAAAAAAAAAAAAAAAAACAACATTGATATTTGGTAAAATAATTAATTAGATCATATTGCATTATCCATTGATTATATTCATTATTGCAGGTAAAACTTACAGGCTTAGAATTTCTAATGTTGGGTTGCAACATTCTCTCAACTTCCGAATTCAAAACCACAAGCTGAAGCTGGTCGAAGTGGAAGGAACACACACTCTCCAAACTACCTACTCCTCCCTGGATGTACACGTGGGCCAATCATACTCGGTTTTGTTCACAGCTGACCAGCCCGGACAAGACTACTACATTGTCGTCTCCACTCGTTTCACGGCTCCTGAGGTGCTCACCACCACCGGTGTCCTTCACTACAGCAACTCCGCCGGCCCAGTCTCCGGCCCACCCCCTGGTGGGCCCACCATCCAAATCGACTGGTCTTTGAACCAGGCCCGCTCCATCAGGTTGCTTTCATGTCCTCAATTATTGCAACTATTTAAGTAATCTGTTGTCTACTTAATATATAATATAAATGGACCAACCACCCCTTTTTTTTTGTTTCCCAAGAGTCTGTTACGCATGTCATTGTTTCTTATCAAGTTTTAGATAAAAACAGATGTGACACTACCACATTAATTGACATTATCTGGGAAATTTCATGGCCGATCTAATATTTCTGGAAGTTGATTCTCAGGACAAATCTTACAGCAAGTGGACCAAGGCCGAACCCACAAGGGTCGTACCACTATGGTCTTATCAACTTAACCAAGACCTACATACTATCCAGTTCCGCGGGGCAAATAAACGACAAGCAAAGATACGGTTTCAACAGTGTCTCCTTTGTCCCAGCAGACACTCCCCTGAAGCTGGCCGACTACTACAATATCGGAGGAGTCTTCCGCGTTGGAAGCATATCCGACCGGCCTTATGGCGGCGCATTGTACCTTGACACTGCAGTTCTCGGTGCTGATTATAGAGCTTTTGTCGAATTCGTCTTCCAAAATGATGAAGATATAGTGCAGAGCTTGCATTTGGATGGTTATTCCTTCTTTGTGGTTGGGTAATGATCGCTTATAATTCTCTTGTATATTTCCTCTTTTGGGGTATCTACTTATACATTGTGTCTAACTTTCTTTTTCTTCTTCTTTCCCCTCAGAATGGACGGAGGTCAGTGGACTGAGTCTAGTAGGAATCAGTACAATCTCCGCGATGCAGTTTCACGTTGCACCACTCAGGTAATAATAATATGAAAAATATTTGAGAGCACCACTACTACTAATAGAAGAAGGAGGCGGGTGGTTTAGTGGTATAGCATTGTTCTCATAATTTAACAAAAGGCAATGAATTAATGTGTTATGTAATTGGGGAATGGTGAGTGCAGGTATATCCCAATTCATGGACTGCCATATACGTGGCTCTTGATAATGTGGGTATGTGGAACTTGAGGTCCGAGTTTTGGGCACGACAGTACCTGGGACAACAGTTGTACTTGCGTGTATATACGACATCAACTTCTTTGAGAGATGAGTACCCAATTCCCAAGAATGCACGTCTTTGTGGTAAAGCAAGTGGGCGACACACGCGACCCCTCTAAACAAAAAGTCCCCAACGACATTATTCACCAACGGTTTGGGTAGGAAGGCGCCTATCTAAGAGCTTTAGTTTGATGAAGAGTAGAGTATAGTTTGGCATTTGGTTCTAATTTATTATTCTTGGGTGCTTAATTTTTCTTGTCATGATGTGAAAATGAGTATGTGCCGCTTTAAATAGCACTCTTTAATAGGTCCTCAGCTCGAGGTCTCATTCTTTCTCTATATGATCTAGAACAGATTGTATTGCCGTTTTCATTTGTTTTGAGTTTTCATATACCTAATTATATGTAATCATAATGTGAGGTGACCTTGAAGTTGCCTCTCAAGTCTTCTAGTAATACCTTTTGAGTTTTGTTATAAAGATGCGGTTATTGAAATTATACAACATTTTGTTCATCAAAAAAAAAAAAAAAAAAAAAAGAGAAATTATACAGCATTCATTTACGAGATAATTTGATCTTCGACGGCATATTTGTTCATGGGGGAAGTTCTATACAGTTAGGAAGGAACTAAGTAACATCAGCTACAAGGTTACCTTTCCACTCTAAAGCATCAGAGAAAACACCTAAAGGAATGTCTGACCTATCTAACCAAACACAAACATTTATCAGAAAGAACCCAATGAGCTAGATTGTGCGCTAAAACGTTAGTATTTCTGGGATCCAAGAGCACGCTAAGAGAGGGATAGCTGAGGCAAGGTTTCTGGCTTCCACCAGCATCTCGCGGGCTCTCCAATCGCACATAGAACAAGGGTCTTTGAAGTGATTAATCAAAAGCTTGGCAGTCAGACTCAATCACAACAAGCTTCAAATTTTTTTTTTTTTCCAAGCACAACTGAATGGCAAGCTTAAGAACACAACTTTCAATCACTTCTGCATCCGAGGCAGGCCTAATATCAGCAAAAAAAAAAAAAAAAAAAAATCCACAGGATAGAGCCATTTGAATCCCGAGCAACCACTGCTACTGCAGCATGAGGACCACATAGCGCCATCGACATTCAGCTTGGTCCAATACAGACGACGAGGCAACCATGTCGAATGAACCACCTTTTCACATCTGGAGAGGCCGCTGCGAAGCTCATAGAAGACCTTAGATATTGAGTCTCTAAGATAGAGAAGTTTGGCTGAATCATCTCAAAGGCTAGCTAGCTTGTTTCTCGAACAACCAGATTCTATCAATAACTACTGAAGCAGATAGTAGAAAATCAGCGCCCCCACCATCCTCCATAGCCTCAAACTCGGAACAGAACTTTCACATTTGTTGATGTATTGTCTTTGCACTCATTTGGTTTCACATCTGTTGAAGATTGTCTTCTTTACCGTTGTGGCACCCAAGTTGTTTCCAATCTGTTGATGTTCTATCACCTTCTTCACACTCATATATTGTTTCATATTTGTTGATGTATTGGCTTCTCTTTAAATGTTTACGTCTCCTTGATTTTTTGTTCACCGAACTTTGATAGATATCCAAAAATTGTTGAGCCGCCTGCATAGACCCAATATCAAGTTTAGATACCATAAAAACTAAAATCGGCTGCTCATGTTGCATCAAAACACGCTAAAAGTTTTGTAATGTTGGGCAAAAAAAGTAGTAATTTTGAATCATATAAGTCTGGCGCTGCGATGTGGGGGGTTTAAAAAAAGAGCGTAAATGCAAATAAATCTATCAAACAAAATAATATGGCTAAAAACTCAAACTTCTGTTTTCAGAACATGCTTGTGATTAATATCATACATAGAAGAATAAAGCTAACGTTCGTTAGTTGCTTAAAAATATAATTAGGTAATAAATTCTTGGGGGAGCTAAAAATACTTAAGTTGAGAACTCAATCACTGCAAAACATACTGTCGCAATAAAACAAAAGGCATTCTATAATGTGATCTTGTTATAACAAAGTACAAAATAATCAAAATGAGCAATAGACAAATGAAAGCTTTAAAAAGCGAACCAATTATATAAGAATAAAATGAAACGGAAGACATATATACCTTCTTACAATCGTTGAAATCGATAAGACCATCTACTTTAGTGCATACAAAACGATGCATCACATCTGCTAGATCATCCATCTTAGGCTCTGAGAAGAGAAAAACCAAAGTATTATTATTATTATCATCATTATTATTATTATTTCTATATTTATTCTCAAAACTTAGAAATTCATGTATCGGCATAATATTCCCCACACAATGACAAAAATCAATCCAGCACCAAATACTTTACCAATTGAACAAATCATGAATATTATAAATCAAGCTATGAATTTCGATAATACGTAACGCATAAGATCTAAACTTAAAACATACAAAACTTCCAACATTTTTTCTGAGACAGAAGACCACTTGAAACCCAACTCAATTCCATCAAAATAAATAATAAACATAATCAGGTAATTACCAACAGCTCTACCAGAGTAACAGAACACAGTAGAAGAGAGGTCGGCTATTTTTAGGGACCCTAACACATATAACGCAGCTTCATATTTTGACCAGTCTGACAAAACGTCGTCGATGTTTTGTTTTGAGCTCGTTTGGTTCATGGATTAGAATTATGAGATTAGAATAATTTTTTATTTACGTGTGCTTTTGTGAGAGAAAATACTGTAACGAATCATGAACTATGATTCGAATCAGAGAACGAATCATCCAACCAAACGGGCTCTAAATGTGGGTCCTGACTTGCTTAAAAATTCAAGCGGATGCTTAAGATCTTCAGCCGCTACATAACCATGATACATATCCAGTAACTGTTCAGCTCTCTGTGTAGATCCAAATTCAAGTTTAGATTATAAAAAAGCGTACACATGACTGAAAGCTTTTAATTAATACGAGGGAGTCAGTATTGAAAGATTTGAAAAACTCTAAAAATAGAACTGATTTTAGAAAACCAAAGTGAGAAATTAAGGCCCGTTCATTTCACCGATTCGAGTTTAGAATTAGAGTTTGTTACAGAGAAAGTTTTCAGAAACAATCACATCTAACTTTTTTACTACAGTAAAAAACTCTCACATAAAATCACATCTCAACTCAAATTAAAAACTCGAATCAGCGAACTAAACGTATCCAGGTCTTATTTATTTCACTTATTCGAGTTTTTAATTTTAAATTTTTACAATTAAAACTCTAATGTCATATTTAATTTTTTCTTTACAGTTAAAAGCTCTTAAAAATATCACATTTAAACTTAAATCCGTAAATCAAACGAGGTCCGAGAAGATACCTGCTTACAGGGAAGAATAGCATCTACCATACTATCCACGGAACGAGACAGAAACAGAGTCAAACCATCTACGGTAGGCTCTGGATGAAAAACCACATTATTATTAGAAAATAATGTCATGCAGAACAATTTTGCTTATTTCAGTATACAAAAAAATTCAAGGAAACATAATAAAGCTTAAAAAACAAATGTCGTCTGCAGAACAGATTGTTTCAAAAAAAAATAAATAAATAATTGCTAGTTGCACATCATGCCTTCCTTATATCGTTTTGCAGCTCAAAAGTATAAAAATAGCAGAACTACTCAAAACTCCGACGCAGCATGAATTTTGCATAATTCAGAACAAAACATCCATTAAAAACAAAAATTGAAGATAATAAAAGAATTAAGTACCAGCAGTAGTTACAAGGAATTCGAAAACACAAGCGCTAAGTTCTGCTTTTCTTCGGCTCCGTAACACATTACAGGCATTTTCCAACTCTGACCACTCTGACAAATAAATCTCTATGGCCTTCCAAAATTTGTTCTCCGCCCTCACTGAAAGCCGTCTTCTCGGCCGGCCTCCCATTCTCTCTCTCTCTCGTCTTTATCTGTTTATTAATCAATGGAAGAAAAAACAAATTTGATGATGCAATATTCAAACCAATTGTAGAGGAAATATTGAAAGCTAATGATGCGTTTAGTTAATGTATTTATATCATAATTTAAATTATAATTTATTATTTATTATAATATTTTTTTTATAAAAAATATACATAAATTAAGAATAATTTTAAATAACTAAAAAGCCCAAGTGTTTTCAAAACCAAACTAAAAATGGCTATGAAGAACTTAAAATTTTTTAAATATAGATTGAGAAGAGTAACGTTGGTATTTGTAAAAATTTAATTGTGAGTCTGTTTTAGTAAGCAAAGTAGATGTTTTGAGTATTTATATAATAAGAGGATGTAAAGGTGGTATTTAAATAAAATACATTGAGTGTTTTGAGTATTTTCTTATTAAATATGTCATATACTTTGGCCTCGTTCACTTCGCGGATTTGAGTTTTTAATTCGAGCTGAGATGTGACATTTTCTGAGAGCTCTTCACTGTAGCAGAAAATTTTGATGTGACATTTTCTGAGAGCTTTTTACTGTAGAAATCTAAAACTGAAAACTCGAATCGGTGAAATGAACGAGGCCTTTATGTTTCTTAAAGCATCTCTAATATAATGTTATAAATAATGTACCAATGGTAAATTTAAATGTAAAAAATACTCTCTAATATTATGTCATTTATTGTGTCAATTTTACTACATGATTTACTTTATGGCAATGGTAAATTCAACATTTAATTATTATTGGTTGATATGTTTAATTTATTTTCATTTAATCATTGCAACATTATATTTTTAAATTATTTTAAAATTAAAAGTTTACATTAACAACTTCTGAAGCTTAATGATTATAGTTAAAAAAAATAAATTTATACAGGTAAACATACAAATTTGAGAAAATTTATTATAACAAAACAGATTAGGAAAAGAAAGTTTAATAGTTCATTTGAAAATATAAGATTTGAAGATGAAAAAAAAAAAGTAGATTAAAATGTACATTTCAATCAAAGGATGCATTTTGTTTAAATGTACGTGCGTTGGAGAAAGTGAACGTGTGTAGACAAATGAGGCATTTTTTTTAATAAAACGAAGTTAGAAAAATCATATATAAATTTAATTAGGAGGTACGAGGAGAAAATAACAATTCAGAAGGCCACATTAAAAAAAAAAAAATAGTAGGGAAAAGCGATAAGAAAAAAATGAAGGCTAAACAAGCAACAGGAAGGTGGGAGAACAAAAGAAAAGCAAGAAAAAAAAAAGGAAAAGAATAAACGAGAATGAAACATTTTGTTCTACCTCTCTGAAAGACCAAACATTCCGGCTTGTTCTTTTACTCTTTTTGAGTTAGGTGACTTGAGTGTAGATTTTAAATTGAGTTTGAGTTATAACTTGAGTTGAAATTGTAATTTGAGTTTGTATTTAGTTGTGTACATTTGAGTTATGGTTTGAGATAATAATCTTTTTAAATTTGTGTTTGAGTAAGTCAAAATTTGAATTTATATTTATATAGTATTTTAATAAAACCTCAATGCTGATGAAAAATTTTAATAGGGTATATGAGTAGAGTTTTATTCGTCTTTTCGTTGTCAACGCATAGAAAAAAATCATCTCAATCAGAATTAAAACGAAAAAGTTAATAGCATTTTTAAGAATAGAAAAAATATTGTTCATTAATTTGAGTTCGAGTTTCTGAACTCGAGTTGAAGGGGAAACTTGAACTCGAGTTCAAACTTAAAAGAACATGAACTTGAATAAAATTATAATTTGAGTTACTTTTTTTAAATTTTTAACTCAAAAACTCAACTACCGAACAATCCCTCCGTCACTTGAGGACAAAATGGACTTGAGGACGAAATGGAGGCGCACGTTACTGTGAGAAAATAGTTGTTTAGATGGTCACACTATTTTCTTTTAGTATACATTTTAAAAAAATAACATAGAGAAATTCGATAAACTATACTCTTGACGAATCTGGAAGGACGAAACTAAGTGGGTATTTTGAGACTTTTATACATTGTAATTTTAATTTCAACAAAAACTTAAAAAGATATTGAATTACTTTTTCATTACACCATTTAATATAATACATAATAAATAATAATTATCCTTATTTTTATTCATTTATTTTTCTTTTTAATTTCATTACCATTTCCATTATATTTTTTTAATAATGTTGGAAATACCAACTCAAATCACACTTTTTGTATACCAACTGATGCGGTATATGAGTTGTTACTTTTATATCATTAGATGTTTAAATATTGTTACGTCAATTAATGATAAGAGATCCTATCTACTAATAAAAATACAATTAGCCACGTACACAAGAATTAAAATTTGAATTGGTGTCCTGACATTATTCTATTTTTTTGGACTAATTACAAAAATTTTCTCGAATTATAACCCTTATAACACTTTACTCGTCGATATTTAAAAGGTAGCATCCATTCCCCATGAATTATGAAATGTTAATAAAAAAGCCCAGTTTGTTAAATTTTTGTGATGAAAATTGACATTTAATTAATTATTTTAGGGGTATTTTGATAATTATATGATTTTAAATTTAATATGAATTTAAAACTAATTTAAATTTGAACTTCTAATTACGAAACATCCATCATTAATTGTGTCATTGGAGCAAAGAAGGTTTATTTTATTTCTTTTTTAATATGGTTTGAAAATGTAAATTAGACTAAAAAGGTTAGGGTGCATGGTTAAAATAGTAATTGTGTTCTAAATTATTTAACGGATGGGACACTTTTATTACCTTTTCATTATTCAGAGGAACACATGTTACATTTTAAAAATCAGTGGACAAAGTGTTATAAAGAGTATAATTTAAGGAGAATTTTTGTAATTAATTTTTTTTTTTTTGTGTCTCTCTTGCGTTTTGTAGCAAAGTTGTGTCATTTTGGCAGTTAAGTAAGGGCCAATTTTGGTATTACTGTACTGTCAAAAATTTCTATTGTTGTTGTGTTGTTAGTAAGAAATTACTATGACCAAACATATCTTAGTGTTTGGTAATTTTTTTTTCAAAGTTACTGTGAATACTAGAAGTAAAAATTTAGGTGTTTAGTAAACTATGTACAAAATTACTATGGAGATGCATAATGACTAAAATAGACATAATTTAACACATATACTTATAATTAGTTTTATATATTCATAATATTTATACACCAAAATACTAAAAACATATAATTTTCATTTTATTAATTAAAATATCTCTAAAAGTAAATTTATTTTATTTAATGAGATAAATTATATATCTTTAAAGAAATCAAATAACGTAAAGAGCTAAAAGTAAATTATTTTTCAAACTTACAACATTATAATAAATATATATTATTAAAATTTAGCATAAGATATTTATTAAAAATTTTTAATTTTCAAATAAATATTTAAAATAAAATATATCATTTAATTTAATTTGAAAGAAATAAATTGAGTTGATTGGAAATTAAATTTTATTATTAAGATTATTTTAATAAATTTAGACAATAATAATAAAAATTATTGTGAAAAAACAATTCCTGATTTACTTTTTAAATTTGAGACAATAATTTTTAAAAGTTTTTGGACAAAATAAAATTTTACCAAAACACCCTAATCTTTCGTAAGCTTCTTAGGTAAAGTTAAAAGCACCTCTAAAAGGGATGCGAAACGGGCCGTAAGTAACTAATCTATGCATCTTCTCGAGTCTCTGTCTCACACTCTCATTGCCGTCACAAACACAATCGCCCACTCTCTCGAACAACCCTCGTAAACTCTCCATTAAGAACAGTCTAGAGAAGCTACTCGTGTGGGCAGCGCCACTACTCCTCGACGGACCACAGCCAAGCCACCGCCCACCACCGAGCCACCGCCGGCGTCGCCTGCTCGCACCACCGCCACCGTAACCCTCTCGATTCGCCACTGTCTCTTGGTTTACTTCAGCAGGTACTTATATATTCTTAGTTGTTTTCATCTCCCTTCGATCCTCTTCCAAGATCGGATCGTATAGTGCTTTTCTCGTTTTTAGGGTTTTTGGCTCTTCGAGAGCTAGGGTTTTGGACTTGTTTTTCTGTTTGGTTTGTGGGAAATGAGATTAGAGAAATGCGATTAACTAAAACATCGCTCTCTTTCCTTGCCATTTCTGAGTTTCGCGCTTGGATGAAAGATCTTTTTCTGCTTTTCTTACTATCCTTTTTTTTTTTTTCAGGTTTTAGTTGAGCAAATTTACATTTCTCTTCCATGGGGGTAAGTTAATGTTAATGCTAGTGTTTTTTTTTTAAATTAATCTTTTTGGTGGGAATATGAGTTTATTTTGTGTTCAACTTTATTGATAATGTTTTAGATCGAGAATATTTTCAAAGATGAAGCCGGTGAAGAGAAAGGGGAGCGAGCCAGAATGGTGAGTTTTGCGTTTTAATTTTGTCTTTTCGCCAATTTAATGTATATTTTACATACCCCCTGATCCGATGGTTGTGATATTTTATTGTAGAGTATAAATATTTATTTTTCTTAGTGCTTGTGAGAAATGCATATGTTAAACGATATTGAGTATTAAGCTTTTTATTGAAGATTATAAATATTTAGTTTTCTTAGTGCTTGTGGAAATGCATATGTTGAGCAAGATTCAGAATTAAGCTTTTTATTGTAGATTATAAATATTTAGTTTCCTTAGTGCTTGTGGAAAATGCATATGTTGAACAAGATTCATAATTGAGCTTTTTTTTATTGTAGATTATATATTTTTATTTTTCTCGGTGCATGTAAAAAATGCATACGTTGAACAAGATTCAGAATTAAGCCTCTTTCCACACACTACTTTAGAGTTAAAGCTTGTGCTTCTGAACCTGTGTTTTGTTGGAAAATCTTTCAGTACTGTTAATTTTATACATGCTGCCATGTTTTTGCCTGTTTATTGACTTTTTCTTTCTTGTTCTTTTTTTTTTTTATTATTATTGTAGGCATCGTTTGTTGGTGCAATGGCAATTGCAGACTTGGTAAAGACAACCTTAGGACCAAAGGGAATGGTAATTTTCACTTTTTTTAGTGACTAAATGCATATCATTTTGATATATTTCAAATTAAAGAATGGTTGTAATTAGATCTCTTGTTAACTAAAAAACTAAATTAGAATATTCGTTCCCAACATATTTGTGCAGGATAAAATTTTGCAATCAACAGGGAGAGGACGTGAAGTTACTGTTACCAATGATGGTGCCACCATTCTAAAATCCCTTCACATTGACAATCCTGCTGCAAAAGTCCTAGTCGGTATCCTTGCAATTGGTTTTTATGGTATTATGGTGCTTATAAGTGGTTTTGGGAATTTCTGCTAGTTGTCATTATACTTGTATGAGATTGTGAAAACCTTTCTCGAAGCAAATTATGTGTTACATATCGTTTTAGTCATCCTTAACATAGGAGTTAGACATTTCAAAAGTACAAGATGATGAAGTTGGTGACGGAACAACTTCTGTGGTCATTTTGGCTGGCGAACTTTTAAGGGAAGCAGAAAAGCTTGTTCATGTGAAGATTCACCCGATGACTATCATATCAGGTTTTGTTATGTGAATCTTAATTTTCTTATACAATGTTTAAAAATTGTTCTAGGCTTGCACCCTTAGGCGCCCATTTTCCACCTGGAGGCACCTGCCTTTAATACGATATATGAGGCTTACACAAAATAATCAAGGCAGACGCCTCAAAGGCTATTTCGCCTTGAGGCTGTTGAGGTGTTTGCCTTATTGGAATATGCTTGTTAGGCCAGTTTGAAGTGACTTTTAAGCCCACTCTTTTAATTGATCTTTTGGGATGGTTTTTTAAGCCCGTTTTAAATGTTTGATGGCCTACTGGGTCACTTTGATTTAAAAGGAAATAGGGGAAGTCAGATGAAACTCAGAATTATTCTAAACGAGTGGAGAGAAGATTAAGAAGATGATAATGCACTGATTTGGAATTTGATACACTTGTTTGGTGTGATGATTCTTCTAAAGATACTAATAGTGAAAGTGAGGATGTTGATGACGGCTACTTTTTGAGGGCTTAAGACGAATTCCTTTTTTTTTTTTTTTTTTCCTTCCCCTCTCATTTAGATTATTAGAGTAATAGAAATAAGGCTTAGACTTGACTTTATCTCTTTAGTCTAAGCTTACGCGTACTTTCATAAAATGTGTTTTGTGAGGAACTAACAACCAAGTTGGTGTTTTGATTGTTTTTGGCTTGTTTATGAATTTTCTTTAATTTTATATATTTTTTTCGCCTGAGGCTTCTAGGCTCATGCCTTTCCTCGATTAGACAAAATGCATCGCTTCCCAATTTAGCTCGTTTTTAGACATTGGTGTTACTGTAATTTTACTATGTGACGTACTGTATTCTGTATTTTATTCTTCAGGTTTTCGGATGGCCGCTGAATGTGCTCGTGATGCTTTGCTGGAGAAAGTGGTGGATAATAAGACTGATTCTGGTATCTATTCCTCTTTAGACCTGTATTCATTTTCGTTTTGTTTTCCTTTTGGGGAATTTCATTTATTATTTTTGTTAAGAAGTTATATAGTAATATCAAGAATTAAGCTCGTTTTAGCAGCTCTACGAGTCTAAAGCAATATTCTAGGCCTATATTATCTTCATATTCAATCCAGTCTGGCACCTTAAATCCGGAATTGTGGGTTTTACTCTTTTGGATCAGGCATTTCTTTTTTCTGAAAGCCTTGCTCATGAAATTTATCTTAAGGATGAAAATGCTGGGTTGTGCAGAGAAATTCAAATCGGACTTGATGAAGATTGCTATGACTACTTTGAGTTCCAAAATTCTCTCACAGGACAAAGAACATTTTGCTAAACTTGCTGTGGATGCTGTACTGCGGCTTAAGGTAATTCATTAATTGACGTCTTGCAAGTTTCTTATGGTGTATATAAGCAATGCTTTCAATAACTATTTTGTAATGAAGCCAAGTGGGTCCATGTTTGTAAATACTGTAACTTCAGTGTGTAGTTGGTTCAATGTTGCACGTAATTGTGTAAAGTTGCACAAAAACTACTTGGAGGTTTAATTTTCTGTTTCTATTGTTTGACAAAGATCTTGACAATGGCAGGGAAGCACCAACTTGGAAGCTATTCAAATCATAAAGAAACCTGGAGGATCCTTAAAGGATTCCTTTCTAGACGATGGGTATGTTCAACTTCTTAGTTGTTTCATATGTTCTATTTTCATGCTGCAATCAAACGTGTAATTAGTCTTATGTTCATTACGAGCTTTGTTGGATTATTGGTTTGATGCCTTTTTCCGGGTAAATTTAGGCATTTTATATTTTTCATATATTGCTTTGAGTAGTAAGTACTTTGAAAGCTACTTGATGCATTGCTGGAAATGCTCTCCTGTTAAGGAAATAGACTATAAAAGTTATATAATTCTTACTAATTTACCCGGTTTTGCTTGTTCAGGTTCATTCTTGACAAGAAAATAGGTATTGGACAACCCAAACGCATAGAAAATGCAAAAATTTTGGTGGCAAATACTGCAATGGACACAGACAAAGTGAAGATTTATGGCGCTCGTGTGCGTGTTGATTCAATGTCTAGGGTTGCTGAAATTGAAGGGGCTGAGAAAGAGAAGATGAGAGAAAAGGTTCAGAAGATAATAGCTCACGGCATAAACTGCTTTGTTAATAGACAGTTGATTTACAATTTCCCAGAGGAGCTCTTTGCGGATGCTGGAATACTTGCGATTGAGCATGCTGATTTTGATGGCATTGAGCGTCTGGCTTTAGTAACTGGGGGTGAAATTGCGTCGACCTTTGACAATCCAGAATCAGTTAAGCTTGGGCACTGCAAGCTCATCGAGGAAATCATGATTGGTGAGGACAAGTTGATCCATTTCTCTGGTGTTGAAATGGGTCAGGCGTGCACAATAGTGTTGAGGGGTGCTAGGTATGTATTACCTGCAATCGGTAGCTTCTTCCCTCTCCTGTTTCTTGATATGACGATTGTTTGTGATACACCAGCCGAGGTTAAACATATGCAAATCAGGTTGTGATAGGGGGTATAAGAATAAATGTTTACGCATTGCTGACAGATCCATGCTGTTATCTATCAATTTTCTTTTAAGCTAATCAAAGCCACAAATTCATATTTCCCATTTCTGTTATTTCCGTGAGTGATTTTCTGTTGAAGAGAGTGTATATTTTGTTAGATTATGTTTTAGTGCCATTAGTAGGCCAAACTTGAATTGTTTATTATCTGTTCTCCGAACCAACTGATGGTCCTACCTGAAGTATGCTACATGTTTCTTTTATGGTTCTTTAAAAAAAAAAAAAATTTTGAGTCCTTATCATTTTGCTGGTTCTATCGCTAAGCTACATTGCGTCTCTGCTCTTGGAATTTAGATCTTCACTTTCTTTGAGGTGTTACAAAATGATTTCTTTTGGAATTTAGGCCTTCACTTTCTTTGAGGTGTTACAAAATGATTTCTTTTGGAATCTATGCCTTCACTTTATTTGAGGTGTTACAAAATAGTTTGTATCTTTTGGCAGCCATCATGTGCTCGATGAGGCTGATAGGTCTCTGCATGATGCCTTGTGCGTGCTGTCTCAGACAGTCAATGACAGCAGGGTTTTGCTAGGAGGTGGATGGCCTGAGATGATTATGGCGAAGGAAGTGGATGAACTGGCCAAGAAGACACCTGGAAAGAAGTCTCACGCAATTGAAGCTTTCTCGCGGGCACTCTTGTCTATTCCTACCATCATTGCGGACAATGCTGGTTTAGACAGTGCTGAGTTGATTGCTCAACTCCGTGCTGAACACCAAAAAGAAGGATCCACTGCTGGAATTGATGTCATCACTGGTTCGGTACGTACTTGTATTTTTTTTTTTTTTTTTAATGTAATAGATTTCAAAACCGAACATGAGGCTATTGGTAGACTTTGCACAGGAGATGTTCTAATTTAATGGTAGTTAGCTTATGATTCATGCATAGAAGATCCTCTAATTCTGAAAATATCGACAGGTTGGAGATATGGCGGAACTCGGAATTTCTGAAGCGTTCAAAGTAAAGCAGGCTGTATTGCTTTCTGCAACGGAGGCTGCTGAGATGATTCTTAGAGTTGATGAAATCATCACGTGTGCACCACGGAGAAGAGAAGATAGAATGTAGAGATGGTGATCCATTTCCGCTGGGAAAGAACCTTTGTTTTATTATCTTTCTCTTGGCATGTGCTTCATGAATTATTGCTATAAAGTCGCTGTAGTTGGATGGGACAAAGATTGCTGAGAACTTGGTCGCTGGCAAAATTTTTGTTCGCTTGTTTTAGTTTTTTTTTTTCCCCTGAATTGTTTTGTTTTGATTTGAGAAGGTAAGAAGTTAATGCAGTTTCTTTCTTTCTGTTTTTTTATTTATTTTTTTGGGTGATTGTTGAATCTTGTTAGAGATACTTCCAGTTTGGTTGTGGCATGTATACATGTTAATTTGTAGGGCTTCAAATGGTTTAACGTTGCGATTGTCATGGATGCATGTTTATTTATTTTTTTAAATCAACGCATTCACATCCAGTGGAAGTTTAGAGTGCGAATTATAGACACTCTGCGATGAATTATAGACGAACTAAACTGAATTATGTAACCTGTCCCGTTATGTCCATCCAAGTTTTCCGTGTCTTACAAATCTGTGGCTGAGACTGCCTTCCGGTATGTTTATTTGTCTAACTCAAGACTTGAGTTACTGTGAAAAAAAAATACTATAGTAAAAAAGTTAAATTTAAATTTTTGTGAGCTTTTTGACATGAAACCTTCTTAATTTTTTGAGATTGGCATATCGATCTTTGTTTTTTATTTTTTTATTGTTTTTTGTAATCGCCCCTCTAACGTTTAAAATTTGTTGTATTATTAGTCCAATTATAACGGGAGTAGAATTTTATACGGATTTGATCACGTGAGTTTCTTTAGGGGTATTAGAAGGTTGTTTCTTAAAATAAAACTCTTTATTTCATATGGGATTAATTTTAAAATTCTCTTGAATTATGACTTTTATAACATTTTGTCCTTATGAATTTTAAAACGTAACATCCGTTCTTTTCAAATTTTGTTATGTTAATAAGTTTTTTCCTGCTGTTACAATGAGTGACGGAATTGTCATGTCACGTACATAATCCATATAAAGAGAATATTATCGTAAAATATCTTATCGTCGAGTGATCTAGTGTCACGTCTTCATCTTTCTTCCCTGCCATTCGCCTCTATTATGTTTCTAACTTTTATTTCTTCAGTTTTGCTTATGTTTTTGAGTAAAAGCAAAGTCGTCATCAATGATGCCTTTGCTAACCTCTGTACCTTCACCCATTATAGGTAATGTAACTAATCTGCCATTTGGACTAAATCTGGTGACAACCATGACCTAAGAAAGGGAAAATTTTTTTTTTAAAAAAAAGTAATGGAACCAACTGCTAAACATCTTTAATGTAACAACTTCAAAATCTAGATAGTTGTCACGTTGTTTTCTTCAAATTCACATCATCAATTCCAAAAGCATAATTGACAAGCACGAAACTTAAAACAACAATACCAACCATTTCATATAATCGAAGCTTTACCTCCGAGATTTTAAAGAAGGGAGCGAGCTAGAGAGGAAGAGAAGAACCGTGCGGAACACGCCGAGAGAGATGGAGAGAGAGGAAGCGAAAAAAGAACACTGCAGAGGACGGCGAGAGAGATGGAGAGAGAGGCGAATGGGAAGAAACACAAAGGCGGAGGACGGCGAGAGAGGCGGAGTGAGAGACCCCAAGAAATTTGGGGGAGATTAAAAAGAAATCAAAAATAAAACGCGTTAAGAAATTACGCTTTTAATTTTCATTAAATAAGTTATACATAAAAATTTCGTGACTCATTATAATAAAAAAAAAATATTAATAAAATAAAATTTAAGAGAAATGAATTACGTTTTAAAATTTAAAAGACAAAATATTAAAAGAATCATAATTAAAAGAAAATTTTAAAATTAATCATTTCATAAAAGGAAAAAAAAACCCAAAAGTTTCTGGGTTCTTTTCTTCCCCCACCGGACCCACCGACACCCCCAGCCAAGATCTGCTTCAGAGAGAAAAGCTTCTCCGTTCTTCCGCCATATCTCGATTCACGCGCAACGGGTTCAGAATCGAATCCAAATCTACCATTGGCGTTGAGTTCGCCACTCGCAGAATTCAAATTTGGGACACTGCTGGCCAAGAAAGGTCTCCTACTCTCTCTTCTCTCATTGTTCTTCATCATAGGAGCTATCGAAATATATGTTTGTTTATTTTGTCTGGAATCTCTGGGTTTGAATTGTAATTGATGGCAATTGGGCATTTGGGATGAAAGGATTTTTTTTTTTTTATTCATGTGTTCTGGGTGGATCCTTAATTATTTTGGAAGTTCTTAGCTTAAAAGTTTGATTTTTTTTTTTTAATGTGTAGTGCAAATTTCTAAGTTTAGGCTTTTCAGGTTTTGGTTTTGATTGAATCGGGAATCTCTCTAATTCACGGTTTTTAAATTGAGTTTTTGATCTGTTTGTTCAAAGATACACGGAGACAGAGTATTGCTTATTTTTCTTATTTTTTCCAAAATATAGACTTGTGGAGTGGGGAAATTTTGTAAATGTGGGAGAATATGGTCACCGACAAGCTAAATTTTGCTAATATTGATAACCTGCTTTGTTTGGAGATTTGGTTGAATTGCGTACTTTCTGGGATTTGTAAATGTGGGAGAACATGGTCACCGACAAGTTTTTGTTTGGATTTTCATGTTCATATGAAGATGCGAAGAAAAAAATGAAAAAAGAAAATGATAAAGAGAACCCAAAAATCCAGTAAGAAATGTCACGGAAAATTTTTGTGTTTTTGGAACTTTGAATGAGAGAGAGAGAGCAAGAGAGCGTGAAGAAGAAAGGGGGCCAGGCTTCTTATTTTTGTTTTGTGTTTTGTTTTTTGTTTTTCCTGAAAAAGGGTTGTTTCTTCAATGAAATGAAATGACCATCTAATACCCCTAAAGAAAGTCACATGCTTGTCATGTGATTAAATCCGTACAAAATTTAATTCCGTTGTTATCAATTGGACCAGCAATACAACAGATTTTAAACATTAAGGGGGCGAGTGTTAAAAAAAAAAGGTCAGGGACCGATCCGCCAATCCTAAAAGGTTATTTTTTTATGAGAAAATATTATAGTAATATGACTTGAGTCATGAAATGAATAAGGTTTTATACTCTAGTACAATGCCAAAACTATAAAGATTGGAGGAAACTAGGGTGAATCTTGTGGTCCTATTTGTTTCAATAATTTAAGTTGAGAATTGAGTTAAAAAGTGAATTTATGTGAGATAAAATACGTAAAAGGTTAAATTTGCATTTTGAGATATTTACTTGTTTATACCTTGTGTATTAAGTTTATTTAAAAATTATACTTTTAATTTTTAATCTCGTCAAATATATATCTTCAAATTAGATTTAATATCAAAATTTATACATTTCTATAGTCAATCCTCAATTTTCTCAATTTTAAACTTTATAATACCTAAAAAACCCTCAAATAAAAACATAGAAATTGAAAAAAACTTTAAACTTAAAATTTTGACCTCTAAAATATGTAAAATACTATTCAAATCGATTTTTTTGTATTATTAATTTTTAATTATGATAATATTAGAAAGTTTGTGTTTTTTTCTCTTTTTCTTAAGCATAGTTTAGTAATTTTAAAAGTCAAAATCAATTATTGATCAAGATAATGCATAAATTTGTATATTAAATTTAATTTGAAGGAATACATTTGATGAGATTAAAAATTAAAAATATATATTTTGAATAAACTTTAAATGCATGATATAAAAATATAATATTCTTGAATTTTTTGTTAGAGAGGATACTATAACAAAAATTTAAGGTCCGTTTAGTTCGTTGATTCGAATTAAAATGTAACTTTATGTGAGAATTTTTTACTATAATAATAAAATTAAATATAACTGTTATGAGAACTTTTTATTATAATAAAATTTAAATTCTAAACTTAAATCAGTTAAATAAACATATCTTTAAACTGTGGTTTGAACTAACCATACGAACGAACTTTTGTGCTCCACGATGTCATCGTGCATGTGGCAAATCTGTTACGTACGAAAAAAGGGTTATTTTGGTAACTTCACACGAAGAAAGGAGTGTGACTGATTAAAAAATAGCGGCCACACATGAGATAAACTGATAAAGCACGTGGTGTTCACGGTCGCTTATCAATTCAATACTATAATCCTACACTAAACTGTATTTTATTCCAATTATCCAAAAAAAAAAACATATATTTTATTCTGTTTCTAATATGGTAGCCCGTATAATTAGAATTGATCTTATTTTTATTTTTTATATTTAAATTTTTTTTTTTTTAAAATGACGTTTGGTATGATAAAGATAAAATACGTAAATGAATATAATTTTTTAATTTAGTATAAAATAAAAAAAATAAATGATGAGATTAAAAATTAAAAATATATATTTTGAATAAACTTTAAATGCATGATATAAAAATATAATATTCTTGAATTTTTTGTTAGACAGGATACTATAACAAAAATTTAAGGTCCGTTTAGTTCGTTGATTCGAATTAAAATATAACTTTATGTGAGAATTTTTTACTATAATAACAAAATTAAATATAACTATTATGAGAATTTTTTATTATAATAAAATTTAAATTCTAAACTTAAATCAGTTAAATAAACATGTCTTTAAACTGTGGTTTGAACTAACCATACGAACGAACTTTTGTGCTCCACGATGTCATCGTGCATGTGGCAAATCTGTTACGTACGAAAAAAGGGTTATTTTGGTAACTTCACACGAAGAAAGGAGTGTGACTGATTAAAAAATAGCAGCCACACATGAGATAAACTGATAAAGCACGTGGTGTTCACGGTCGCTTATCAATTCAATACTATAATCCTACACTAAACTGTATTTTATTCCAATTATCCAAAAAAACAACATATATTTTATTCGGTTTATTCGGTTTCTAACATGGTAGCCCATATAATTAGAATTGATCTTATTTTTATTTTTTATATTTAAAAAAAAAAAAAAATTTTAAAATGACGTTTGACATAATAAAGATAAAATACGTAAATGAATATAATTTTTTAATTTAGTGTAAAATAAAAAAAAATAAAAAATAACTTTTAATTATTTTTTATTTTTATTTTCTCCTCTCTCTAATAAAAAAAAACATTAATAAACTTTTTATACTAAAAATAATCTCTTAATAAAATTATTAAACATATTTTTAAAAATAATTTTTATTTAAAATTAAAAACTTTTTTATTTTTATTTTTATTTTTATATAAAAAAATAAAATTTTTAAAACGAATTTTAATCACGTCCAGCGTGAGGTTCCAGAAAAAGAGACATAAACGTCGTTTATCGGCACTATTTTGAGTGGATAAAGTACGCCATACCAGTCTTGAAACGCGTGCCAAAAAATCAAAAAAATCGTACATCCAGAGCTGTCTTCTTCTATCTACCTATCTATATGTCTTCTTCTATATATCCATCTATCTTTCCCATTCCCAGCTGAAAAAGGGATCCCAAAAAAACTTAAAAGAAAGATCAGAGGAACGTTGTCTTTGAGATAAACCTCAAGTCTTAGCTCACTCCAATGGCGTCTCCTTGTCCGAGTTTCAATCCTGTTCTCGTTACTTCTCACAAATTCCCAGAGGTACCTGCCTTTTCTCCCCTCTCTTTGATTTTCTCAACTTTTTTTAACCCTCATCGCACCAATTTAAATTTAAAATTTAAGATTATTACAATAAAATTTTTTTAAAAATAATTATATTTAATTTTTTTATTACAGTCAAATTTTTTTATATAAAATTATATCTTTAACTCAAATTAAAAATTTAAATAAATGAATTAAACAGATTCGTAAATTATTCAAATCGTTTCATTTGTGATTTGCCAATTATTCATATTGTTATTAATATTGCTCTTTTAAGTCTTTATGGAAAGTTCGGCGACGTGAGTTTCCTACATATGATGCAGTTTTCTAATCGCTTGTTTCTCGTTTGTTGTGCATGTTGGATGGCTTTTAGATGACTTACACTTATTCTGAGAGGTGAACTCACTATTACGTGATTACGACTGTTTAATTTGTTGAATTAAATTTTTAATTTAAATTAAAATATAATTTTATTAATAATTTTTTATTACAGTAAAATTTAAATTTTAAATTTAAATCGATAAAATAAATAAATTTTTATTTTTATTTACGTAAATAATTCTGCGAAAAGTTCTCTTGCATTGTGTATGTAGTAGTGTAAATTATGCTGAAAGATTTAATAGCATTATGTAGGAACCCATTCTCCTTAATAATATAGTGTAGACTTCCCCAATAAAACAAAAAAGAAACTGTGCACGAAAAAACTGATGGACAAAAAAGTGTAGACAAAAAAGAATGAAGAACTAAATCCTGTTTGGTTGGAAGATTTGTTCTCTGATTTGAATCATGTTCATGGTTCGCTACAGTATTTTTTCTCATAAAAAATACACGTAAATTAAAAATAATTCTAATCTTATAGTTCTAATCCATTAACTAAAAAAAAAAGAAGGTGAAATATTGTTTGAGGAAATTCGTTGGAAAAAAGGTCATATATATTTAAAAAATTTAAAACATGAATATAAAATAAATAGCAAGCCAGGCACGGATCCAATTTGTGGCTAGTGAGGGCACGTGCCCCCATTAAAGAGAAACAAAACCATTATACTCGTTGTTCAATACACTGTCAAGTAAAACTCTCTATTTTGTCTTGGATTTTTTCCTAAAAATTTTGGGCTTTGACTCTTGTTTAAAGGGAGGTCAACTTCATTTTTTACTACGGAAAGGTCCTTTTTCTCACTTGTTCATATTAGTATATTTTATAATTTTTTTTTCCATTTTAGTTGAAAAAACTTTACATTTTTTTTTTTTGATAGTGATTATCCCCTCACTGAAGGGAAACAAAATCATTAAGTGCGTTTAGAATTCGTTTTAAAATGATTTTATTTTTGTATAAAAATAGAAATAAAAATGTTTTCAATATCAGACATAAATCATTTTTAAAAATGCATTTGGTAGTTTTATCAAGAGATTGTTTTCAGTATAAAAAAATTCATTAATGTCTCTCTCTGCTTGAGAGAGGAGAAAATAAAAATAAAAAATGAAAAACGACTAAAAGTCGTTTTTCATTTCTCTCTCATTTTACACCAAAACTAAAAAATCGTTTTCATTTTTATTTTTTATCTTTAATTGTGTCAAACGCCGTTTTAAAATCGTTTTTAATTTTTATTTTTCATATTGTTATTAATATTGCTCTTTTAAGTCTTTATGGAAAGTTCGGCGACGTGAGTTTCCTACATATGATGCAGTTTTCTAATCGCTTGTTTCTCGTTTGTTGTGCATGTTGGATGGCTTTTAGATGACTTACACTTATTCTGAGAGGTGAACTCACTATTACGTGATTACGACTGTTTAATTTGTTGAATTAAATTTTTAATTTAAATTAAAATATAATTTTATTAATAATTTTTTATTACAGTAAAATTTAAATTTTAAATTTAAATCGATAAAATAAATAAATTTTTATTTTTATTTACGTAAATAATTCTGCGAAAAGTTCTCTTGCATTGTGTATGTAGTAGTGTAAATTATGCTGAAAGATTTAATAGCATTATGTAGGAACCCATTCTCCTTAATAATATAGTGTAGACTTCCCCAATAAAACAAAAAAGAAACTGTGCACGAAAAAACTGATGGACAAAAAAGTGTAGACAAAAAAGAATGAAGAACTAAATCCTGTTTGGTTGGAGGATTTGTTCTCTGATTCGAATTATGTTCATGGTTCGCTACAGTATTTTTTCTTATAAAAAATACACGTAAATTAAAAATAATTCTAATCTTATAGTTCTAATCCATTAACTAAAAAAAAAAAGAAGGTGAAATATTGTTTGAGGAAATTCGTTGGAAAAAAGGTCATATATATTTAAAAAATTTAAAACATGAATATAAAATAAATAGCAAGCCAGGCACGGATCCAATTTGTGGCTAGTGAGGGCACGTGCCCCCATTAAAGAGAAACAAAACCATTATACTCGTTGTTCAATACACTGTCAAGTAAAACTCTCTATTTTGTCTTGGATTTTTTCCTAAAAATTTTGGGCTTTGACTCTTGTTTAAAGGGAGGTCAACTTCATTTTTTACTACGGAAAGGTCCTCTTCCTCACTTGTTCATATTAGTATATTTTATAATTTTTTTTTTTCCATTTTAGTTGAAAAAACTCTACACTGAAGAGAAACAAAATCATTAAGTGCGTTTGGAATTCGTTTTAAAATGATTTTATTTTTGTATAAAAATGGAAATGAAAACGTTTTTAATATCAGACATAAATCATTTTTAAAAATGCATTTGATAGTTTTATCAAGAGATTGTTTTCAGTATAAAAAAATTCATTAATGTCTCTCTCTGTTTGAGAGAGGAGAAAATGAAAATAAAAAATGAAAAACGACTAAAAGTCGTTTTTCATTTCTCTCTCATTTTACACCAAAACTAAAAAATCGTTTTCATTTTCATTTTTTATCTTTAATTGTGTCAAACGCCGTTTTAAAATCGTTTTTATTTTTTATTTCTCGAAAAACATAAAAAATAAAAACAAAAACAATTCCGAACACAACAATTATATTTATTGTCTAAAACACTATCAAGTAAAACTCTCAAATTTGTCTTTGAGTTTTTTCTGAAGATTTTGGCTTTGACTCTTGTTTGAAGGGATGCCAACTTCCTTTTTTGGTACAGAGAGGTCCTCTTCCTCACTTATTCATATTAGAATATTTTATAATTTTTTTTTCCATTTTAGTTGAAAAAACTCTACAATTTTTTTTTCTTGTTTTGATAGTGATTATCCTCTCTGTTTTTTTCATTTATATTTTTTGCTCCTTTGTTATTTTCCAATAGTTTTATATCAAAAGTTTTATTGCTCTCCAAAATAATATGAAAATTTATGCACTTTTTAATCTTAAGTGATTATATTGTTTTAATGTTTATTTTTTATTTATTATATACATAAACTTGCGCGCATAATACTCAATAAAGTTATCACTCTCTTAAAAAAATATTAATTACTAATTAGAAAAGATAAAATCGGAGCAAAAAAAAAAAGGAAAGGCAAAAAGTTTGCCTTGTAATTTTTATCATATAGTTTAGTTAATGATTTTTTTTCACTTGTTCCCCTATTGGATTCAAATCCTGACTCCATCACTGAGCAGGGCATATATAAGAAGATATTAATTTAATGGGACAATTAGAGAAAAAAATATTTATGAGTCATATTTGAGAAAAGAAAAAAAAAGAATGTAAAGTAAGAAAAAAATAAGTCAATGAAAAAGGAGGGGATAATTCCCTATAAAAAAAAAAGGAAGAAAGAATGGAGGGGATAAAGAAAAGGGAAAAAAAGAAAAAGAAAAAGAGAAGCATTTCGTGATGCGAAACTCCACGTGAATCTGACTTAGTATAGATATAAATAAAAGTAGTATAGATAATGTATCTTTATCATTAAAAATCTGTTGCTTGTGATGAACTTGGCAAACAGGGATGCAGTCATCTATGCCTTGGGTGTTGGAGCTTGTCAACGGGATCCTGTCGATGAAGACGAGCTTAATTATGTTTACCATAAAAACGGACAGCAGTTTGTACAGGTTTTGCTAATCAGAAAGAGATAATTTTGCTTAGAATTTTCATTTGGGTCTTTCTCTTTTAGCTGCAAGTACTAGTTATTGAAACCAAAATGGAGTGTTTCATGTTCTATCACCATTTGGTTTGCAATTTTAACAGCTGAAAAAAGTAGGTTTTCATTCATATTTTCCTTTTCACAGGTATTGCCGACATTTGCTACTGTATATTCGTTTAGGTCGCTTCCAATAGACCATCTTGTACCAGGACTGGAGTAAGTCATCTTGTTTCTATTACCATGTCACAGTGTCACAAACTCAAACTCCTATCTGCTTTACAAGTTTGAGTATTTTGGCATAATCTGAAGAACTAACGAGCTTTATGGTTTTTACTTGCCACCAGATATGATCCTCGTCTTGTGCTATATGGACAACATTACATAGAATTATACAAACCGCTTCCTTCATGCGGTCGTGTAAGGCTTCTTTCTGACCACAATCCGTCATGAACATTCATAATAGAATGTACACATATAAGTATACTTTTGTTTTGTAAGCCGTTTCGTGTATTAAGTTATTGAACCACAAGTGTGTACAGTAAGATTGTTGTGTATTCCAATTGACCGGCATGTTATGCACCAAATTTGCATGAATTCAGTCTCTTTTGGTACTATTAAGTTTTCATTAGTGTTTATCAAGTGTTGCTGCTCTCTTTCAGTTCTTTGCTTATTGCAACACTGAATGTTACATTAGTATATTATTAATGCAGATACAAAATAAGGTATCTCTTGCTGGATTGCATGACAAAGGTATTCCCATCCGTTGGCAAAAACAGTTTTTACAATTTGTAGTACTGCACTATTTGTTTTAAAAATCTGTCTCTCTTGTTTTTTGCTAGAAATATAAATCTTTTCGTTAGTTTCATTTTTCATTTACTTTGTCCAAACGATAGCTATGCTATATCTATTATAACTATAAGCTATTCACTCGCCTTTTCAGGTAAAGCTGCTATTGTTGAGCATGAAACTAAAAGTTACAACGAGTCTGGAGAGCTGTTATGCTTGAACCGGTATGTTAAAGTATAAAATTATTATTGACCCACTTCTTAACAGTTTAAACTTTTGGAATGGATTGGTAAACTAACATGATATCAGAGCGGGAGGTCTTGAGTTCAAACTCCGTAATTGCACTCTTTATTCCCATTTAAAAACTATCTAGCCCACATGTGAGGGAGAGTGTTAAAGTATAAAACTATTGTTGGCCCACTTTTTAAACTTTTGGGATAGATTGGTAAACTAACATCGGTAAGCACTCTTTCTGATGAACTGGTCCGAAACTGCCCCTGAAATTACTCAGCTGGGATGATTACATTGTAGGTCGACTCTCTATCTTCGAGGTGCTGGTGGCTTCTCAAGTTCATCTCGCGCATTTTCCTACTCAAATTATCCAGCCAACCAGGTTTCAGTAAAAATTCCGAAAAGTCCACCTTTTGCTGTGTTTGAAGAGTGTACACAACTATCCCAGGCATGTCACTAGGCCTTCAACTTGTTACAGAAAAGTTTACATGTACATTGCGATTATTTGGTTCATGGGGAGTACAATTTCCACTTGTTGCACCCCAAATAAAACGTTTAGTTATGGATTCAGAACCATGATTCAGAACCATTCTCGTTTTACGTGTATTTTTTTGAGAGAAAATATTGTAGCGAGCCACGAACCATGATTCAAATCATGACACGAATCTCCCTTCCAAACGTTAAAAGTTATATTAGATGATTGTATACTTGATTTCTGTTATTATATAAAATATATAATGAGTTGCCATGAACTTTGTTAACCTATTATTTTGCTCTTTGCAGCCATTGCTCTACAGGCTATCTGGTGACTACAATGCTCTACATTCAGATCCTGTGGTTGCGAAAAATGCAGGGTTGCTACTTTAGTTCAATATTTTTGTGTTTCCACTGTCGTCTTGTGATATGAGCATCATTTTACGCCAATTTTTCCATTCTCATTTGACTGAATCTGTTGGGTCACGTTGTTAAAGGTTCACGCGGCCGATAATGCATGGATTGTGCACGCTTGGTTTCGCAGTTAGGGCAATCATCAAGTGCATCTGCAAGGGAGACCCAAACTTAGTCAAGAGCTTAGTTGGGCGATTCCTTTTGCATGCGTACCCTGGGGAAACTTTGGTTACTGAAATGTGGCTTCAAGACAAGAGGTAACAACCATAAGTATTTTTCTCTTTTTTTTTTTTTTTTTGGTCAACAATTTTAACAAGCATAAGGTTACTTCATGGTGAATTGAAATATTGGCATTCCAATATATGCAGGGTCATTTATCAATCTAAGGAGAAAGAACGCAATTGCACTGTGTTGTCTGGCTTTGTGGATCTTCATGGTCTAACTTCGCCTCTATAGAGAGTGTAAGTCCAGTTGGCACACTAGGATTGGTGTCAAGGGTTGACTAGATGGAATTAGATAAAAAAAAGTTCGTTACTCAGGGGTAGTTCTGTCTTTGTAAGACGTAAATGTAACGGTTTCGATTTTCTGTTGAAACAGATTAAATAACTTTAGTTAGTAGGGGGTTTTTTTTTTTTTTTTTTTTTTTTTTTTCTCTTTCAGAGAGAGAAAAACTGGTCTGAGTGTGAAAGAGGAGAAAGAGTTTAGAGGGTGTACTCGATGAGAGAATTGTGTTCTTGGTGTTCTAATTCCATTGATTCAATAAAGTCTTTGAGGTCTTTTCCAGAAATTGTGTGTATTGTTCTTTGTATGTTACTGAATTGTTCTTGTATCTGGATTGCTCGTATTACAACTGGGATTGCTCTGAGTTTAACAGAGAGAATGAAAAAAACAAAAAATAATTTAAAAAAAAATACAGATGCTTATTAACTGAAATTTTGACGGGTCAGAGATATGGAGGAGCTAGGAATTTGGGAAGTGTTCAAAGTAAAACTGGCTTTGTTACTTTCTGCCACAGAGGCTGCTGAGATGAATCATAAGTTTTTGGCTTGTTTCAGTTTTTCTTTTTCATTTTTGGTTTCTTCGTTTGGTTTTAAGAAAGGTCAGAAATGATATTAATTCAGGGCTGCCACTTATTTTTTTTATTTTTTTTTATTTTTTTAACTCCTTTCTTGTTGGGTGCTTATTGAATGTTGTGAAATACTTTCAGTATAGCGATTGTCGCGGATGCATGTTTAATTCAGTTGTAAATATACACAATCACCTCTAATGAAAGTTCTCCTATCTACACAAAAAAATTGCACTTGCTCACGCTAATGACAAATTTCATAAGAGTAAATTCGACAAGCCAAAAATCCTTTTTAGGACAAGCCAAAATAACAAATAATGTAATAAATAATGACATCTCTTAAACCTTGCGTATTATGACAAATAATAACCATAAATTAGTACACGTTTTCAAAACCAAAAAAAAAAAAAAAACCATAAATTAGTACATATTACGAGAAATACGTAAAATCCTTCCCCAAAGAAAAAAAGTGAAATTCTATTTGTGCAATGTTCATAGTGTAACACTACAAAAATATTATTTACTGTCATGTTACATTAAAATTGTTTTAGTGTCACTATATTACACCAAAAAAAAAATTATAAATCCATACTAAAATTTGTTGCACTTAGGCCGCTAGACATTAGACTATTTCTCTATTCATACAAAATATCACACACAATACCGATGTTAGTATTCCCTCTCAGTCTCTTAATAGAAAAAGTTAATTTTAAAATTTTTATTAAAAAAAATATTATAATAAAAATTTAATTTGTGATATAAATTAATAAAATAAACGAGATCTAAATCTTCTCAGTAATAAAAAAAAATCCTTTTTCTTGTTCATTTGTTTTTTTTTTTTTTTTTCATATTCCTTTGTTTAGGAAGTTAAGAAATGTCTCCATCCCCAATAATAGACAATATATCGACAGTAATTATTAAATGGATAGAATACGTCATGCGAGTAAAGTCATGCCCAAATTGATCACAGATACTGACGTCTGATCTGACGTGAGAGTTGTGGGCGCTGGAAAGTAACCCAGAATTTTCTTCGTTATCCTCCCATTCCAAGCTGGAAAAAAGATCCCAAGAAAAAAACTGAAAAAATCCAAAAAAATCTGTCTTTGAGATAAACAGTCGAGTCTTTGCTCACTCCGATGGCATCTGATAATAAACCGAGTTTCGATCCCGATCTTGTTATTGCTCACAAATTCCCAGAGGTATCTATCTACCTTTCCACGCTCTCTTTGATTTCGCCATGCTTTTAAGATTTGACTTTTTTTTTTTACCGTCGGTACTAATTGTTCATTTCGTTTCAATTGTAGTTTCTAAAGTGTTATTCATTATTGTAATATTTGCTCTCCATGCGTTTGTGGAAAGTCCAGGGACGTGGGTATTCCTTTAGATGCAGTGATTGTGTTTAGAATTAATTTTGTTTTTATTTTTTAGGTTTTTTGATAAAAAAAATGAAAATATTTTTAAAATAACACAATAAAAATAAAAATAAAAATAAATTTTTAATTTAGTGTAAAATGAGAAATAATTTTTAATTTTTTTAATTTTTAATTTTTAATTTTTTTCTCATTCTCGAAAAAAGAAATATTAATGAATTTTTTTATACTAAAAATAATTTTTTAATAAAATTATTAAATACATTTTAAAAAATAATTTATGTCTAATATTAGAAACGTTTTCGTTTTCATTTTCATAAAAAAATAAAATTATTTTGAAAACCCGCTTCTCAATTTCTGGTTCTAGTTCCGTTTTACTAATCTCTTGTTTCTCGTTTGTTGTGCATGTGGGATGGCTTTCAGACGACTTACACTTATTCAGAGAGGTAAACTCACTATGTAGACAACTCTACAGAAAGTTCTCTTGCAGTTAATACGGAAATTGAGCTTAGTTTTTTATGGATGTATTATGTATATATGTATAGATAAAATATCTGTATCATTAGAAATCTGCTGCTTATAATGAACTTGGCAAACAGGGATGCAGTCATTTATGCCTTGGGTGTTGGAGCTTGTCAACGAGATGCCGTCGATGATGACGAGCTTAAATATGTTTACCATGAGAACGGACAGCAGTTTGTACAGGTTTTGCTAATCAGCATTCAGAAAGAGTTAAATTTTGCTGAGAATTTTCATTTGGATCTTTCTCTTTTAGCTACTGTAATAGTTATTGCTATTTGGTTTGCAATTTTAACAGCCTGAAAGTTTTGGTTTTCTTTCATTCTTTACTTTTCACAGGTTTTGCCGACATTTTCTGCTATATTTTCGTCCGGGTCGACGCCAATAGCTCAGCTTCTACCAGGACTGGAGTAAGTCGTCTAGTTTCTATACCATGTCACAATGTCACAAACTCAATTTTCTGCTTGCTTTACAAGTTTGAGTATTTGGGCATAATCTGAAGAGCTAACGAGCTTTATGGATTTTAATTGCCACCGCCAGATATGATCCACGTCTTCTGCTACATGGACAGCAGTACATAGAAATATACAAGCCACTTCCTTCAAGTGGTCGTGTAAGGCTTCTTTCTTAACACAATCTGTCACGAACATTCATAATAGAATGTGTAGATAGAAGTAAACCTTTGTTTTCTAAGGCGTTACGCGTAATAATTTATTGTACCACAGGCACTTTCAGAGCCTAGTATGTCCAATAAGATTGTTGTGCATCCAATTGACCAGCATGTTGTGCAACAATTTGCTTGAATTCAGTCTCTTTTGTTACTATTAAGTTTGAAATAGTATCAAGTATTGCTGCTCTCCTCCACTTCTTTGCTTATTGCAATACTGAATGTTACATTAGTTTACTATTAATGCAGATACAAAATAAGGTGGCTCTTGCTGGATTGCATGACAAAGGTATTCTTATTTGTTGGCAAAAACAGTTTTTACAATTCGTATACCGTGTGATGCAAACAGTATACATGGTTTGCCACATGGAGGACTTGAAAGACGTTTGAATCTTATTTGTTTTATAAACCTGACCCCCGCTTTTTTTTTTTTTTTTTTTGGAAATATTAAACTTTGATCATTGCTGTGATTTTTTATGCTTTCATTTATTTCTTCTTTTTTTTTTTTTGCCATTTACAATGTCCAAAAGATAGCTAAGCTGTATGCGTTATAAGCCTTTACCTCTCTTTCTTTTTCAGGTAAAGCAGCTATTGTTGAGCTTGAAACAAAAAGTTACAACGAGTCTGGAGAACTGTTATGCATGAACCGGTACATACTCTTTCTGATGAACTGGTCCAAAACCACCCTGCAATTACTCAGCTAGGATGTTTACGTTTTAGGTCGACTGTCTATCTTCGAGGTGCTGGTGGCTTCTCACGTTCCTCTCGTCCATTTTCTTACTCAAACTATCCAGCCAACCAGGTTTCAGCAATTAAAATTCTGAAAAGTCAACCTTTTGCTGTGTTTGAAGAGTGTGCGCAACCATCTCAGGCACGTAGCATTGTTTTAACTAGGCCTTGAACTTGTTTATTAAAGATTGAAAGTTGGACTTAGAGGCGATATTTTTGTGTGCTTAATGATGTTATTTGATTAGTTTTTTGGTTTATATGTTGAACTCTGCTACTACAGGAAAGTTTGCATGTACATTGCTATTTTTTGGTTCGTGTGGAATACAATTTTCCATTTGTTGCACACGTAATAAAAACATTCAGTTCAAAAGAAAAAAAAAAAAAAATATATATATATATATATATATTATACTTGATTTTTGTTATTATACATATTTGCCTTGAGGCGCCATGAAATTTCTTTACGTGTTATTTTGCTCTCTGCAGGCATTGCTTTACAGGCTATCTGGTGACTACAACCCTCTACATTCAGATCCTGTGGTTGCAAAAGTTGCGGGGTTGGTACTTCACTTAAGTATCAAACTCAAACTTCCATACAAGTTTTTTGTGCTTCCACTATTGTCTTGTGATCTAAAGCATCATCTTATGCCAATTTTCCGTTTTCATTCAACTGAATTTCTTGCGTAATGTTTTTTAAAGGTTTACGCGGCCGATACTGCATGGATTGTGCACGCTTGGATTCGCAGTTAGGGCAATCATCAAGTGCATCTGCAAGGGAGACCCAAACAAGGTGAAGAGCATATTTGGACGATTTCTTTTGCATGTGTACCCTGGGGAAACTTTGATTACTGAAATGTGGCTTCAAGACAAAAGGTAACAAGCATAAGTATTTTTCTCTTCTTTTTTTTTTTCGGTCAACAATTTTAACAAGCATAAGGTTACTCCATGGGGAATTGAAATATAGGCGTTCCAATATATGCAGGGTCATTTATCAAGTTAGAGTGAAAGAACGCAATCGCATTGTGCTGTCTGGCTTTGTGGATCTTCACGGTTTAACTTCGTCTCTATAGATAGAGAGAGAGAGTGAAAAAAATAATAAATAAATAAAAAAAGAAGAAGAGATAGAGACGGACCAAACAGAGACATATCACTATATATTCGTTGTTTCCTACGTATTTGAGTAAAGCTATGAGATACTAGGAGAGCATCTCCAAATACATCACTTTGCAGAATTAAATTCCAAACTGATGTAATTTTCCTTTTTCTTAAAAAAAAAAAGGTGATATTATGAGGCGTGACACTTGGCGTACATGTTTCTATGCTTAGTTCTTAGTTTTTGTTTTGATCTTTCGAAAAATTATTCACATTAGATTTTATAATGCATGTATTGTATAACATGCCTGAGATGTAAGGAGAAAAAAAAAAACGCAATCTTGTTTATTTTATTGATTCGAGTTTCAAATTTGAATTGTGCTACAGTAAAAAAACTCTCAGAAATATAATTTTTTTATTATAATAAAAAATTTTCACATAAAATTACATCGAATCAGCGAACTAAACGGATATATAGTGTTTAACATCGGTGTCTTGTACTGTGTTTTTTTTAGTCGACTGAGAATGAGATTTGAGAAAATTTTCACTTGAAAACAAAGATTTCTAAAAAAAGAATTTGGAATACTCTGTGGTTTTATTTAACCTATAAGAATAAAGAATTTAATTAAAAAAATAGCGGGGACATAACGACCACCGACCGACATAATATTCAAAACTGATCCAACGGTTAGAAAGTAAGCGAGGACTACAGGCGTAATACTTAAAGCAACTAAAAACCCTGTAAATACAATAAGGGCCGGTTTCCCTAACACTAACTCCATTCTAGTCTCAGTCGGCAACGCTCTTCCCAGTTTCGACAATGGCTGAAATTGATAATGCTTCGCAGATTTGCGGCGGCGATCGTCAAGCAGCTCAGGCCATCTCCGACGTCGGCGACGGCGATGTTCGTGATGTTTGCGAGACTCTCCGGGGATTTCCCTCTCACGCCGTCAAGGATTTGTTGTCTCTCGGGGTTCGCTCTCTATCCGATACTCTTTGCGTGTTTTATTACCTTTTTAGGGTTTTATGGACTCGTACAATAGTGCTTAGAGTTTCCATTGCGGTTCTGAAGTGGTCTTCATCTCTCTCTCTCTTGCTGCGATTTTGATTTGAATGGTTGAATTAGGGTTTACGGATGCGATTATGCTGATTGCTCATATTGTTTAATCATTCTAGTTATATCCCTGTGCGAACGTATACTATTGAATTTCGAAACGGAATGGATGTGAAATTTTCCAGTAATTCGTCGGTTTCCTCATTATGATTGTTAAGGCATTACCTTTTAGTGTTGAAGGCGACCTAGTTCTTTGTTTATTTGAACCTTACAGATCTTCTTAGGTTTAAATTTGACGTAATCTTTCTATTTTTTTCCCTTTCTCTTCTGATTTAGGTATGCCTCCGATGCATTTTGCGGTTACTTGGGATTAGAGGGGAACTTTATGATAATTGCACATTATCATTATCATCTATATTGAGTTCGGTTTTCGGAGATTTAACAGATTCAGAGAAACATACGATAAATGATGCTTCTGTAGAAAATGGAAAGTGTAGCGAGTCTCCTAATTTGAAGGAACTAGAAGTCAATGAAGCACTTTGTAGCCTTTGTTTGGGCATCTTGCAGTTCTCTTACTGTGATGATAAGGCGTCTGTGGTGAGAAAGGACAGTGCTTATGATTTTGCTTCCTCAATTGTGGAGCTGGTGAAGCAAGAAGGTCATCAAATTGATGGATTCTCTCTTGAAGTGTCCATTCCACCAGTCATCCAGGAAAACGAACAGTCTGTTTGGTAATAATTGTTGTTTCATTCATAAACACTTATCTCTTTAGCTGTTTAAGTATTTGATATATTTCAGGGTTATAAATGATTTTTCCCTCTGTTTTCTTATTATGCGCTGCAGCAAAGCAAGATACTCTGTGTTCCATACATCTATTGGAAAATTCAATTTTTTATGGGTTTCTTCATTAATATACTTAATATCTTAACAGTTCGATGTCTCTTTTTTTTTTTTTTGGGTCTATTTTTATGGTTTTCCAGCTCTTAACATGAAGCTATCTATTGAATTCATTCTTTGCCTATTTTTGTAGCTTGTATATGAAAAAGAAATATGAATCTGAGTCGTGGTTCCAAAGAAAGTCACTTTCTGAACGTGATTCTGTGAAGGATGCTTTAAAGACTTGTATGACAAAATCCCTTGAAAAATTGTTGGTAAGTAAATTTCTTTTATTTATGACAGTACTAACTCCCATATTATCATGCTTAAGTACTATCTGTAGACTGTAGAGTTGACTTCTTACAAATTTCCATTAGCACGTGTATATTGACTTGAACTATTATAAATATTTTAAGTTGAAGTTTTCCAGGATTGCAATTCCAATATGAGCACTTTCCGTATACGATTGACATACACTCAAGCTGAATCATCAAAAATGGTTCAGACTTTTGTAGAGAGAAAGCAGGGCTGTAAAAGAAGAAAAGCAGGCATGATGAATCTTATCATACACTATATTATTTGTTTCAATTTCCCTTCCCTACAAAGCACAGAAACATGCATTTATTTTGTGTTCATGGATATGTTGCTAATTTCCCGTAAACAACAAATCATATGAAATTGGTTACTTATGTGTACATAGTATGTAGTTATTTACATTTTACATGCCTTACACATGCACTTGTGTATACCACACATCTAACTAGTGTGTCACCACATATTCAACGAACCTATTTGGATAACTAAGCTGTTCATTACTGTTTAATCTTTGTATCCTTTATTGAAACTAGAGTATGGGAATTCTTAATTTTCTATAGCAAAAGCACTTTGAGCGGATATGGTTGTGGTTCTAAAGAAGGAAGTGCCGTATAGTTTTTGTACAACATAATTTGTATTATAGACCCCTAAAAGAAAAAAAGAAAAAAAAAATCTGTCGTCTGGAAAATCTGGGGAACTCATCTTGTTTAAGAAAAAGTTCGTTTCTACCAAAGAAAATGTATTTAACATCCTGTAGATCTTTTGTGATATGTCCCGTGGGATCCATTCTCTCTACCTTTTCCTTTGTGTGTTTTTGGTCCATTAGATCAGATGCTGTTTGTTAGTTTGTTACTAACTTACTATATGTACTTATGTCAGTCTAAAGTCCTTTGCTCTTAATTAACTGTTGGAGGAGGGACAACATGTTTAGTGGCACGCCCACTTTTGCCTTATTTAATTTTACGTATTGCACATATATTACTGGTTGTATATGGTAATACTAAATTCTTGTATATCCTTTCTTATAAATTTAGTGAGGTGCTTAATTATTTGAACTGTGTTTTCACAATGTTTAATGTTCCCAACTTTGTATCCAATTTGATAGATAATTGAAAGACAGACTTCACATGCCAAACTGACCACTCCCCTCTTCTTGATTTTTCAGTTACAGGCACTGATAATGACTTGGAAACTGTTGATGGTATCAAAGTTGCTAATTTTCCAAGTGATGAAATCGCTGCAGTCATTGAAAGCTCTTTAGAGACTTGCCAAGATAGTGGATTATCTGACCGGGTAATTCTTTCTCCCTTCTCCTTAGGCGTGAGGTTTTCTTTTACAGGAAGACGAAAGGCAATGTCTAAAAACATGTTCAAATTTCCACATCATTGTTTCACTATTTGGTTATTTGCAGCTGATTGATGGTGCATCTGTTTAGTGATTTTTTTTTTGGTAGAAAATTTGGTACATTTGCTAATTGGGTGGTGCTTGTTGAACTGAATTTCTATCAACTTGTTTGATTCTAAAAATGTTGATTCTAATTCTTTCTGTTTAAGAATTTTAACCAGGTGAGTGAACCTTGCCAGTTGGTGTTCCATTGCTGTAGAACGCATATCTACTTTGGTGGGAGATACCTGAAGGTGAAGTTGATTACATTTTCCTTGAGCGTTTTGATATTATAAGATTGGTTTTTAGTGTCTTCTAATTTCAATACCTGAGCGTTTTGGTATTTTAAGATGGTTTTTTAGAGTCCTCTAATTTCAATCACTTGTTCACATGCTAAAGATCGGCACTGTTAAGTCACTAAACAACTGAAATCCGTTATGCATGTAAATTTTTCTCCTGGTTTCTTGTACAAGTCTTACGTGTAAAACACAGTGACAGAAAGAAAATTGGTAGTTATAACTTTACAGGCCAAAGATATTCAGATTTATTACTGTCTTGGAGCTTCTCATTTCCTTATAAAGGGACAAAGAAAGAAATAATAAGAAAAGGAAAGAAGCATATACTGACTAATTCTTTTTGGTGGCAGTATTCCAGAAATGTGAGTCAAACACGTTGGATCATTGATGATGAAAGAATGGGAGATGCGTCTGTCGAGGTGTTATCTTCTTCTACGGAATGCCATATCCTTTAATATTTGTTTGTTATTGTTTGTTGAATTCTAAGGTAGAAACCTTATCGCCAATGTTCTCATATGCAGGAGTTAATTGGTAGCAACATTCTTCCTGTGTGCAGAGGTGATAGCTACAAGTTCCATGCTGCTGGTAGAGAGGATATAGATGTACGTGTATTTTCTTTACTAAAATTCTGACTATAATAAAAGGAATTCTGAAGTATGGAATCGACTTTTAGGTTCGGATGTTGGGGTCAGGTCGGCCTTTCCTGGTTGAGATACAAAATGGACGCCATCTCCCCTGTGATGAGGATGTGAAAAATATAGAGGAAAAGATTAACAATTTGGAAAATAAATTGGTAAGCTCAGTTTTGCACAAGTGTTCTTGCTTCTCTATAACGTATTGTTGTAAATCCGAATATTGTGTATGCAGGTTGGGGTGAGAAATCTCAAAATAATGGGTAGTCAAGGATGGACTCTGATGCATGAGGGTGAGGCAGAGAAGCAGGTTCTCTTTTGCTTTTACTTTTTCTTCTGCTTCGCTTTCCTGTTTGTGATTGAATTTATCGCGAGTTTGTGTTATTTTTAATTACCATTTATGGGGTGCGTTTTTATCTGGATTGAATGATTGATTTGACTGAATTAGTTTATTTTCGTTATCCATTTTATTTTTAATGCAGAAGCAATATGCTGCATTAGTGTGGATTTCCCGCCCACTTAAGGATGAAGACTTTCAGTCCATATCATCATATAAGGAGATGGTGAGTCTTTCTTGCTCCATATAGCCTTTTATTGACCTTTTATTTCTTTCTTTTTTCTGATGGAGGTTCCACGTATTTTATTTATGTTCCACACAGCGTGTGGTACAGAAAACCCCAATAAGGGTGCTTCACCGCCGAAGTCCATTGGAACGTGAAAAGATTATACATTGGTTAGTTGCATTTCCGTAGTATAGTGCAACTTCATTTATTCTATCTATATTCTCACTACCTCATGTGGTTTCTTCTGTTCATTTTTATTTTAGGATGAAAATTGAGAAGATCGTTGGAAGTTCTCAATATTTTCTTTTGCATCTATGCACACAGGTGAGTTCTTTTATAGTTAAGTAGGAAGTGATTCAGTTGCAAATAACATTATCTTTGGCCAGAGCTGACATAAAATGCAAAGAATAAGAATATTTTGAAACGAGGACGAATTTAAAAAAAAAAAAAAAAAAAAATTGTTTTTTTTTTTTTTTTGGAATCACAATGAACCCTTTACCTTTGATTTTCTCTACCCCAGTTGTTTCTTCTCTCTTCCCTCACAATTGTTAGGTTTAGATAACTAAAAATAAAAACTAGCAACACTCTTTTTTGCGACAGGCTGGAACATATATCAAGGAATTTGTACATGGAGATCTTGGGCGTACTTATCCCAGGTACCAGAATTCACTACTAGAGATGCGATTTAGATAAAATATTATGGGCTGCACAATTTGTGCTTGCTTAGTTTTGTGGGCTTAACACTGAGGCCCTGTTGATTATTTTCCTGGTAGAATATAGTTGTTTTTATTTTTATTTTTATAGAATATGGCTGTTTTTGGTTGAACTTTGTGCTTTATTCTTACATGCAATTCTTTTGCAGCATCGGCACAATCCTGGGGTGTAGAGCGGAGATACTACAACTGGATGTTACAGATGTGAAAATGGACTGTTTCTAAATGAACTAAGGACTTTCTTTAAATGAACAAGATCACTCCTTATTCAAGTATTTATTCGTCTCCTATTCAACTTCGGGAAAACTGTTTTGCTCTAGCGATTTCTTCATTTTTGCGCCCCGCTTGAACTCCGCATTAAAGTTGGTATGAAGAGAAATTTCTCAAAACCGGAAAAATAGAGATAAATTCCTCTTAAAAGTGTTTTTCAATACAGGGTTAGAATTTCTACTTTTCAGTACACGGTCAGAATTTCTACTTTTCAGTACACGATCGGAATTTCTATTTTTCAGTCTTGATTAATAACTTTTTTAATTAAATAATTATACCAATAAAAAATAAAAATAAAAATCTCGTGTACTCTTAATGTTAAATTTTACCATTTTTTCTTTTTTTTTTTTTTTGTTATTATATTTATCAAGTTGTGCTGTAAAAGCAACAAAGTTATTGCCTCGGAATAATATGATGTTATTGGGCCCGCCATATCTTCTGTCATTGGATTTCTTTAACCACAAAGTTTGGGCCCAACCTTACAAGTAATTTGTTGGGCTGCGCGAGTAAGATTTTACATAGTACTGGGCCCAGCCCATTAACTGGGATACGAAAAATCTTTAAACTGGTTAGAAATAATAAACTTTCTGCTAAGATTAAAACTACCAACCACGGGCAGCCCCCAATCGCACGAGCTTACAATTTATAGTTTCGTAACTTCCCTAATTTTCGTGCGCTGTAAAGACTAATCACATGAAAAGTCATAATAACTAAATTTAAAACATTGAGGGGGAAAAATAAATAACGTAGAAGGAATTTAAGCCCCGACGGGGTGAATCTTGCAATTATTCTCTCTCCAAGCAAATTCCTGATTGTGTAGGGGTGGGACAACTACTCCAACCAAGATGCACCTAACATCTTAGCCATGAAACTATAACGGTCCGCAGCTTCATCGATCTGTATAAAACGTTATCCAATCACGGTGGAGCTCATAAAATTACTTTCACGTGCACACTAACAAAAAGCTGAAACAATACTCCATCTAGACCATAAATACTATGTTATATACGGATATTACGATAATTGATATATTACCATTTTCTTCGTTGGACGTCCAGCTCCGTGTCCTGCTTTGCACTCGATGCGACCAATGATCGGATTGGTCTGTGGGCTTTTCTCCAAGCTCGTGGACAAAACATATTGCATAGTCTACAGGTAAAGAAATATCTAATTAAATCTGTGCTATGAAATTTTTTTTTTTTTTAGCACATGATTTTTCAACAAATGTGGGAAGAAACTAACCGCCAACAACTTCAATGAATGTAATGGTACGACCCGATCGTCGTGGTCGGCAGTCAACAACATGGTAGATGGGTACTGTGAAGCTTTATCAGGATTCTCCCAGGGTCTCCTGACATTATGCAGAGGCGAGTACCTGAGAGAAAAAAAAATATGAATTAAAGATGAGCAAGTAGCAAGATATCTCCCTTCTTATGAAGATTACTGAGAGTGCATATGACTTAAGTTTACAATTTTACATCTTAAAAACATATATGAAGGATAAACATTTGAGTTGGGACTAAGGTGCTGGTGGTTTTTTTTATTTTTTATTTTTGGAGGAAATCCATTTTGCAGTTGGATTGCCAAGAAATGAAGGTGCACTTCTTTCTTTTTCCGGTGTGGAGATCATACAAATATCCACTTTGCATTAGGGTTGCCCATTAGAAATGCAAGGAAATTAAAAAAGAAAAATATTATCCAGTTCTATGCTAGTGAAACTAAAACAACTTACAAGAAAACAAGAAGGATTGAAACTACGTCAGACTTTAACCTCTCTACTCATTGCAACAACAAAACTATCATAGCAGCCCAACAGATATTTCTTAAATATTTAAATTTAAATTACCAGATACTCCAACACAAAGTAAGCAATACTCACTTGATAAGCCACTGAAACTCTTCCTCCTTGTCAGCACAACCATAATCCGAGGTCCAGGCATGACCTAAAAAGTGGGGGAGAAAAACACATACCAGTAAGACCAAACATGCTCTACTAAAGAAGAGGAGCTAATTAGTGAACTAAAAAAGTGCCAGACTAACCTATGGTGAATTTGTGGAATCGCAGCATGTCCATTACACCAACATGAGCCAGTGCACAACCAAAAAGATCAGGTCTCTGTAACAAAAAAAAAAAAAAAAAAACTTTGTTCGTTAATTTGTGCACAAACTCCTCTAGAATGAAGAGGTTGAGGAAGCAAAGAGACGCCATACCTGATTTATGCAAGCCCCAACAAGAAGCCCGCCATTACTTCCACCTTCTATACACAATTTTTTGGGTTGTGTATAACCAGTAGATATGAGGTATTCAGCAGCGGAAATGAAGTCATCAAAGCAATTTTGCTTCTTCGCAAGTGAACCTGCTTTATGCCATTTCTCTCCATACTCTCCACCACCACGAATGTTTACTATACAGAAAACGGCACCTAAATGCCTTGAAAGTACGATACGACTCACACTGAATGAGGGTGTTAAATTAATGTTAAATCCACCATAACCATATAACAAACAGGGGTGTGATCCATCCAAAACAATATTCTTTCTTGCAACAACAAACATTGGTATCTTCGTACCATCTTTGCTGGGAAAAAAAACCTGGAAATGGAAATTCCAGTCAATGAAAGAGGGTTTGCAGGGTCACATAAAAAAATAATAATGAGAGAAAATAATCAAAGTAGCAGGTAATTTAACAGGAAAAAAAAAAGGATGATCTGATAGCAAAAATCGTCAAAAGGAAAAAAAAAAATATATATATATATATATAGAACCAGAAAAACAAGAGAAATTTATGAGATGTTAATTAGGAAAAAAAAAATTACCTGATGAACATTGAACGCTGACCGGTCAAACCCAGGAACAGCAATTTCACGAAATATCTTGATTTCTGGAAGTTCAGAGTCTAAATTGCACTGATATATTATTCCAGGAGTAAGAAAACTCGTAAACCCATAGAAAACTATGTTGTCTTCACGTCTTGCAGAAATGCCATAAACCGAGCCAATGTCAATGGGCAATTGATGGATTAACGAACCTGATTTCAGGTCCCTTATCTGCACAACATACTTTACATCGCTCAGGTAACTTACAACCAGTTGATTACCATTTACAGCAAATGCAGATTCGAGTACATCTTTTTCATCTTCTTGAAGAACATCTGTCCAAAGTGTTGGTTGCTTCAGATCTGCTCGGACTAGCTTATACTTTGGAGCATCTTTATTTGTCAGAAAAGTAAATACTGTGTCATCATTTGCAATGGTTAGATACTGAGCATCAAAGTTATCAATGACCCTGACAAAAGGGAGCAAATCATTCTTCCCCCTAAAACCTTCAAGCCCATTGGGAAGCTCAGACATGTCACAGTAGTAAAATTTGTTGACTGGGTCACATCCCTCGTCAATATACAAAAGAACATACTGCAAGAGAAAGAGATAGTTGTTTAAACTACTCGCACAAATAAGCTTTATCATCTATGCTGAAATCGAGTTTATTGTTTCCGTTCATACACGCATGCACATAGGCATCCAATGAGCAAGACACTAAAAACAACAGAGAACGCAATTGCATTTGCCATCATGCATGCACATGGAGCATACCACTAAGCAAGGCACTAATAATAACAGAGAAAACACTTGCATCAAAGGATAGCAGCTTCACTACAAACTATAGCTTGAGAATTTCAGGTGAAAGAATACAGAAATGATCAGGGACATAAAATGATGCATTCCATTATCAAAAACAATTACTCTGCAAGACTGCATCAACATAAGAAGAATGGACAAGAGTCCAACAAAGTCATAAAAGGTGATGAAGGCACAAAAACAACAAATTACCTTTCCATCGTCTGTTACACTGGCCCCAAACAAGTATTTAGGGTTGTCACTGTCCTTCCAGCATAAAATATCTTCAGATTGGTCCGTGCCCAAAAAATGATAATACACCTCATGATAGAGATTAGCATTGGTTTCTGTCCCGGCATCTACATCTCCTTCTCTAAAGCATAAAACCACCATGATTATCAATTAAAATTACCAGGGGTGAAAAAATCAGAAAGTACTGTGTACAAAGAAAAAAACAAAACATCTTGCACAAATCAGAAATCACTATATTGGTTCGTAGCGCACAGAAAGAAAAACAATTCTGTTATCTTTCCTTTTATTACTCTATACCTACTTTGCTCACACAAAGCTCAAAGTTTATAATTAAAAATAAGGAAAAAAAAACTTCTTGCAATAATTAATATAACCATTTGAATATTTCAAATAGTTTAAATATGAATTTACATTTGTTTATTCATTCTCTTTATTGATGTCAGAAAGAAGGGTATTAAACGTACACAATTCTAACGAGAGAAAGCCGCCGTTAGAATTAGGAGCCATATAGTACCCAAAGAAGACTAAATAAATTTTTGCTTCCTTACTTTGGAGGTGGATAGCGGCTGTAGAAAAACCCCTTGCTATCACGGGTCCAACTAATACCAGAAAACTTTACCTGAAACATAATTCGTATAAAGAGTTAATTTCCTATATCATTCTCTTCAAACTTAAACGATGTGAGCAAACTCACCCATGATAAAGTATCAGCCTCAACCCTCTTGTCTTCAACATTCATAACTTTAATTGTCACCCAATCGCTGCCACTCGTACTAAGCCCGTAGGCCAAGTACTTGGCATCCTTACTTACGGAATATGTATTCAGAGAGACAGTCCCATCTTCGCTAAGTGAATTCGGATCAAGCAAAATCTCCGGCACTCCATCCAACCTGTCCTAAAATTTGACGAGGAAAAAAGCAACAAAATAAGACAGAGAACCTCATAAAATGTGTACAATTCATGATCCAAATCAGGCCACAGAAACCAACCTGCACATAAAGGACGTTTTGGGCTTGAAGACCGGTATTGTGGAAGTAAAAGTACTTATTCCCACGCCTAAAAGGCGGATCATAACGCGGGTGATCAAAAAGTTTCGTGATTTTCTCGCAAATCTTCTCCCTCGTATCACAAGCCTGAAGCACCGATTGCGTCAATTCCACCTGCTTATTCACAAACTCTTTCGTTTCTTCAGAATCAGGATCTTCAAGCCTGAATGATAAAAATCAATAATCAAATCCAATCGAATTCCATCTAATATTTGCACAGGAAAACAAAAAAGAAGGGTGAATACTTTCCCGAGAAAATCTCAAAATCTTAAAACTTCAAACCCTAGTCCTTCAGCTCAAAACAAAACAAAAAGGTCAAAATGATCAAACAAAAGGTCAAAATGATCAAACAAAAAGGCAAAAATAAAAACCTGAATACTTCCCCAATAAAATCTCAAACCCTAACTCTTCACACCGCTCCTTCCATTCAAATCAAACAAAATAAAAGGCCAAACAAACAAACAGACACTATCCAAAGATCAATCTAACGTTTCATTGAATTACAATACTTTTCACGGAACCAAACAGATTCTGCAAAACGAAAACCGATCATGACTAAATCGAATCGAAATCGTTGAATTGAATTGCTCACCATCGATAAGGATCAGCGACCTTGACGCCATTGTAGTCATCAACGACGGACTCGTCCCTGCGAGCGGGAGGGTAGTGCAAGGAGTGATCGAAAGCAGAGAGAGAGCCCATCCTGCGGTTTGAGGGGAGGAGGGAGAAAGAGCGAGAAGATTTGAATGCGAATGAAGGCGGTTTGGGAAATGAGAGTAGTAATGATGAGAACGAGTGAGGACGGTGTCTAAATAATAAGACGGCGAGAGTTTGATTAGAGATGGCGTGGGTGTGGCGAGAGAATGATAACATGGTTTTCGCCGAATGGCGTGCAAGTCAAGGTCATGGGCTTTTCACGAGGGCTAAAATGTGAATTGATGTGTTCATTCTGTGTTTACTATGTCGCCATGGTCTTGGACCTAGTGGAAAAAATGACTTTCTACGTGGAAGATGGGGTTTTCCTTTTCATGCTTCGTGAAATTGACTCAATAAAAAAGTTTTAAGAATAAAATAATTTTTAAAAAAATTATAAAAAATTTCTATTTATAAAATTATTACAAAACTATCTGAAATGACCATTTTTTATAATAAAAAATAATAATAATAATAATTAGGTGGTCGTTTTTTATAAAAATAAAAAAGATCATTTTGTCAATTTCACTTTAATTTTCTCTCTATTAATAGAACAAAAGAAAAGATTATTAGCACTATTAATCTCTGAACTTTGATTATTGTGATAAGGCAATCCATTAACTTTTAATTTTAATATATTTCTTTCTTAAAATTTTTTTGACGTTTTGATCACTGACATTTAAATTCACAAGCAATTTCTAAGAAAACACATCATATGGATAAAAATTCTTAGCCCATTAAAAAAATATAAGAATTACTTAGTATAAAGTGACATTTATCTTTTTCAATAATGTTAACTTTTTATTGTTGCCAAATTGCTTTAGATTCAATTGAAGTACGTGTGTGCTCGTAAATGTACGAATCACAAAAGTAATAAAGTATATTTAAGTATAGATTTCGTCACATAGAGATTAAGTTTTTACAAGTTAAACTAAGTACCGCAATTACAACAACTATAACTTTATTTAGGCAATCAAATTCAAGTGACTGTAGCAATTAAAACAATAGAATTAAACTAACAAAGCAAGTAAATAAGAAATTTGGAAACAATAAGGGATCGAAGCGAACTCTGATGGTATTAAGACGGTTAGGGGGTCCGATTTCATCCTACCTAGCTATGCTAATCCGATTCTTAAACTTGTTAACTACTTTCACTCAATTTATTAAGCTTAGATTTTCAAAAGTAATTTCACTCCCTCTCCCGAATGTCAAGTAAAATAGTATGCAAGACCCAGTTAAACAATATCCCTATTAGCCCAACCAAATCAACCATCCATTAAGCAACCTAATATTGATTACCCAAATTAATTGGCCTCTCGAACTCAATTAACTCTAGGTTGTGCTTTCCTAGATCCAATATGTGAAAGTAACTCTCCCGAGCATAAATCCACACATCTATATCTCTAATTCAATGGATAATCAAATTAGACAATAAGCATAGAGAAACACAAATGGATTGAAGAGAGAATTCATTAACAAGAATATAAAATCCTCATAACATAGCAACAGTAAAACTACATCAAACCCCTAGCTCTAAAGAGTTTAGCTAGAAGTATACATTAAGAATCCAAACCATAAACAATCCACATATCATATCCATGGTCTACACACAATCAAGGAAAATAAAAATTCTAGAAGATAAAAGAGAAAGGAGAAGAAGGAAATAAAACTCGTTGAAGAACAAGCTCCAAATCTTCAAGCTCCCATCCAATCTCCAAGCATGCTATCTAAAACCTCGTATTTTCCTCTTTCGGTTGTATTTTTTAGGCCTATTTAGTTCGTTGATTTGAGTTTTTAATTCGATTTGATATGTGACTTTAAGTGAGAGCTTTTTACTGTAGCAAAAAAGTTAGGTATTGTTGGTTTTCAAAATGTTTTTAAGTGCGGAAGCGTGGTAGTGCGGATCGTGTATAATAAAAATTTTCTCAAAACTTTTGAATACGCTATAGATTATATTAATTTGTGCAATAATAAATTAATCTTATTAATTTATAAGAATAGATAATTAATACCTTGTCGACGATTAGGACAATAACTTGAAATTCTTTGGCCGACGAACGATCCTCCTCCAAAGCTTTCTTAGAACACCTAAGCCTTCCTCGTCTACTCTTTGATATCGCAAGACGATTAGTGTGGGCTTAAGGTATAAACTATCAGAACAATCACTTGTTAATTTATATTCTTTCACTGTCAACGCATGTATGTGAAAGAATTGAGAAAATTGGAAGAACTTTTCTTCTCTTTTTCTCTCTTAGGGAAGTCGGCCAACCTAGGGAATTTAGGAGATCAAAATCTTTTTCTCCAATTCCTATTGTCTCCTATTTATAGACAATTAGGAGAACATTTTTACTTGTAAGCAAAGAAAATAGGAAATTGGTAACTATTAAATTTTTAATCTCATTAAAAATACAGTTTCCTTTTTGCTTTTGGAAACAAAATTTCCTTCCCTTTTGCTATATGATGGATGGCCATCTCTTAAGAAGGAATGAAAAAATTCCTTCCTAATCCAGTTTATAATTTTTTAGCTTAAATTTAATTACAAATAAATTAACATATTACTTTCCTTTTTGAATTTAATTGGAAAACTTATCGAACAAGTAAACCGGATTACTTAGAGATCAAGCAACTAAATCCCAATGGGATTTTTCCCAGTGTCACACGCCTCCTGTGGTCCCACCACAGTGTGTGACAAAATAATTAAATAATCACATTATTTAATATATAATTAATTCTTAATTAATTATTCACGAATGAAATAAAATCCCAATAATTCATCTTGCCTTGCAAATAATACAAGGATGATGGGGGACTTATGGACCTATAATTTCAAGCTCCAATAAAATTAATAATTAATTAAACTCTTTAATTAATTCTATTAATTCTAAAAGTTACTCCACTAAAAACTTGGAATTGCACTCTCAAAATTATAGACATAATTTACTTCTAAGAACTTGAAGTGTCCATTTGATATAGTCACTACATATAGATTGATCCTCCATAAATAATTCATAATTAAAGTTAGGTAAAATCCACTAACCTCTTTAATTACATCTTTATCCTTGAGTACCATTGATTCTCTAATAAATAATATGTTCATAAAACACATTCATGAATACGAGCTCGTTACTTATTCAAGTACCGAATCAACCTTTAAGAGAATTATTTATCTGCTTCTTCAAAGAAGAAGGAATGGCTTCCATCTTGTATATTAACATTTATGGCTATCCATTTCATCATGTTCCCAAGATACAAGGAATATGATTTACGATCTCGAAATCCGTACTGAGTAAGTCAAATAACACAAATCCATAAATATGAGTATACTAACAACTCAGGATTAAGATCATTCTATATATGACCATTGATAGACTCAAATTTGATTTTGTATATTTAACAAAAATTACCATAAAATCAAATTGTGTCAATGTCCCAATTCTACATAATCTCATTATGCATAATACACTCATTCAATATCCCTCTATATTAATGATGCGGATAACACCATTTCATTCTTAATGGGAATGACATGCATTAGTAATGTTTTAATTAAAGATTCTGAAACTTTAATTAAATTCATTACGAACATCGTTTCGATTATTATCCTTAAATATTATCCTCTCGTATATAACACTTATATACAATATTTAAGGTTACATAAATAATCACAGAATTTTCTATGATATTCATAAAGTATTCAATAATACATGCACATAAATAATGAATAAACTATTTTATTAATCAAATAATAAAATATCCTTGTTACATCTCATGCTTAAGGATACCAATCCCAACAGATGTGACTGTTTCTGAAAACTTTTTACTGTAGCAAAACTCGAATGGGTGAAATGAACGGGGCCTTTGTGTTTCCTAAGAGTATCTGTGTGATTCTGAGCTCATTTCTATTTTTTCTCCCCTTAAAATTAGCGCAAATGAAGCCTTAAATAACTACAGAACGCGTGGAGACGCTGCAGCGGATCACTTTCCCACTGCAACGCCATTATAATTTTTGAAAAAATCCTAACAATGCAGGCAAATCCGCTACAACGGGTCTTCAGTTTCCAGAATGGCGCCGCATCACAAGAAGTAGGCACTACAGCGCTTGAGGCAAGGGCTTAGGGCTGGTTTTTTGTTGTCCGCACTGCAGCGAGAATTCCATTCAGCTACAGCGGCTTCATGGCTTGATTTGGATCTCATTTTCACTCTTTTCAGGACCTTTTCATTCATTTTAACTGATGAGTAGTGTTCTAGCTTTTAAGCTTAATTATTTGTTTAATTATAAAAGCATTATTTTTATTTTGATGTGTTTTTGTACGTTTTGTAGGAAAATAGAGAAAATTAGACTTAGTGGTAATTTGGATCAAAATTTGGAGCAAACTAAGCAATAAGGGGCACAAAGGCCCCTTCTTGGCAACAAGAGGCATGCGCTTGCGCAACATAATGGCGTGGGCATGCCATCAAGAGGGGCACATAGCGGCCCCAACAGAATGAACCGCGCAGCCATGCCGCGCAAGTCGTGCGCCCCTGCCACTCACCGCGCGGCTGCACCTCTTCTCCGAGCTGATTAAAGTTTGGGTCATTTTTTGCCCTTAATCTGATTTGGAGGGCCGAGATTGCTCCTTTGGAGGTGATGTGAGAGACCACTAAGCCATAAAATCCTAATTTTGAGAGGCACACTGATCAAGAAAGATTGGAGGCACAAACTGCAAGAACTAGAAAGAGCTTAGAGGCTAAAAATTGGAGGATTTTTCGTGGAGACATCTTGGAAGATTCTTGAAGATTGAAGCCTTAAAGACCACTCTATTATAGTTTCCTCTTTATCTCTACTCTTTTGATTTTGATTTTAATTTGAAAGTTGTAATTGTGATATTGTAACAACATGGTTGCTTTTATGATTTTCATAGTGATTATGCTTATGAATTTGACCATGTGTAGCTAGATTTCTAATCTAGGGCCTTAATGTAGCTAGCTTGAACTATGTTGTGAATATTTAGTTAGTTGCTAATGAAATCTTGAATCAATCATCAGTGTTTCTCTTGACCTTAATGCCTCTAGTTGATTAGAAAATATACTAGTTTTTTTTATATTTGGGTTGATGCTTGGGAGAGATTAGTTCGAATATCGGTATAGGGAAGCACAATCTTTTGACACTGGAAGGTGATCAACATGTAGGTAATCATTATGAGAATCTTGGTAATTGTGAGACTCGGAGGTGATCAAATGCTTAGATAAAGCTTAATGAATGTGTTTATACCAAGTTAGATAGGGATATTGGCTTGTTTATTTGCACATGTTATCTTACTTGATGCTCGGGAGAGGTAGTGAGACTAATTTAGAAACCTTAAATGAATGAATTAAGTTAAATTAATTAGCAACCACTAAATAGGAAGACATAGGGAGAGTGAAACGAAGTCAAGACCCTAAAACTCTATTATTATTTTAATTTCCACTTATAGTTTCGATATTTAGTTACTTGTTTTATTAGATCTTGTGTTCTAGCTTTAATAGTTAAATTAATTTACTTTTCTTACTTCAATTACTTAAATTTAGTCACGAACACTCACAATACTTAGTTTAATTTTCAAAAATTCAATCCTTATGGGAGGATATTCGACTTTTTAGTCACTTTATTACTTTTGCGACCAGTGTATTTGCGGAAAATTTTGCAACATTAATGAGATGTTTAGTTTATGAGTTCAGAATCATGATTCATGATTCTAATTTTTGAAATTCAAAGTTTTTATAAGAGAAAAATACTGTAAAGAATTAAGAATCATGATTTAGAATCAGGAATGAACTTTTAAAACAAACATCCCAACTCAAACTTATAAAAGCAAGATAAAACATAATAATCATGATAAAACACCAAAAACCAACAAAAATAACCAAAATTGGTGAGTAATAAAATCAAGCTATCATTTATCTTAATAATATCCATTCATTTAGTAAATAGGCAAATGGCTAGGGGAAAAGCAAAATACTTCGGGCCTGTTTGTTTGCGTTTTCGTTTTCATTTTTCACGGTTTTCAAAGCAAAAAAATGAAAACGGGTGTTAACAACGTGTTTGGTACAATTTTTTTAAAAAAACAAAACCAAAAACGTTTTTGTCTTTTTGTGGAAATCAGAAAACAAAAAAAAGGTGTTTTCATTTTCTCGTTTTCGTTTACTGTTTTCTGAAAAACGGATTTCACTTTTTTTTTTCTTTTTCATTTTCTTCCCTCTTTTCTGAAACTGTTTTTGTATTATATATGTTTATTTAATATATTTAATAATATTATTTATATAATATATTTAATAATATAATATATTTAATATATTTAATAATATTAGTTATTTAATATATTATTAGTTAATATATT